TATAGGGATTTTGTCAGTCGGCATATTTTCGTGGGGTCGTCGATGAATCCGTGGGGTTGTTCGACGAAGATCTCAGCGTCCACAGGTGCGTATAGGAACGCATTCGCGACATCGATTTGGCGTAGTGGTAGTGTTTTCGTGGCCGCGACGGCGAGTAGGATGCGTAATGAGGTGTGACGGGAGACTGGAGCGAAGGTTTCTGTGTAGTCGGTTCCGTATCGTTGATCGAAGCCTCGTACGACCCATCGAGCTTTGAATCGTTCGATGGAGCCGTCTGAGTTGGTCTTGATGCGGTACACCCATTTCCCCGAGAGAACGTTCTTCCCGTTGATGCTCGTTGCAGGTACCAGTTTCCATGTTTCTCGGTCTTGCAGAGCTTTTAACTCCTTTTCCATTGCTTCCTTCCATCTTGCCTTATGTTCCCCCCCCAGAGCCTGCGACAACGTTGAAGGCTCTCGCGGAGAAGGCGGCGGCGGATTCTGGACGGAGACCCAGAGGCCTAGAATCTGGAGTCCCGTGGGCGTGTGTCGAGGGGAATTTTCATTCCCGGAATAAGCTGCTTCGTCACCGTCTTCGGGGTCAGGTAAGAAATTGGGGCCGATGCGTTCCGAAATATTCGTGTCGACGGGGTGAGGTGTAGCGTAACCTTGGTCGGCGAAGTGGTAAAAGGTGTCGAGGTTGTTGCTATCGAGGGGATTTTCTTCATCGAGTGGAACAGGTGCGGAACAGAATGGGAGTGGTCCGGCAGCTTCCGAGGCTCCAGGTACGTCTTCTTCTGCTGCGTCAGCCTCGGCAGTATGGTCAGCGAAGGAGCGAAGGCCCGCGAAGCCGTCGGTGGGGTCTTGTGTGTTGGCAAGGTTGTCCAGGTAATGCTGCAGCGTCAGTCGTTCGTAGAAGATAACATCGCGTGATGCCACCGTGTTTTTGTCTTGTATGTCGAGAATTTTCCACGCGTGAAAATGTTTTGCGATGCCGAGGTGTAGTCCCCATCGAGCTCTTTGTGAGAAGCGTCCTGCTCGGGCTGTGTGGGGTCTGTACTGTACCATGCAGCCGAAAACGCGGAGTAATTTTGTGCTGCCCCTTTTTCTTGTCCACAACAGGTGCGGTGATGCGTTGTTGGGAAGTGATGACGAGGACAGCAGGTTGTGCAGGTGAACAGCATGTGTCATCGCGTCTGGCCACAGTGTGGTTGGCAGTCGCATCCCCTGAAGCAGTTTTCGCAGCGTCGTCTGCAAGGTCCGATTCATGCGTTCTGCTACCCCCTGCTGTTGGTGAGCATAGGGCAGGGACACCAGGCGTCTGATTCCCCTTTCCGCCAGATAGGTCCTGAAGCGTTGTGACTGGTATTCCAGTGCACCGTCTGACTGGAAGCTCTTGAGTTTGAGTCCTGATTCTCGTTCGGCGATGGGGAGCCATGTTGTGAAGGCTTCGAAGGCTTGGTCGCGCGTTTTGAGATTGAAGTGCCAGACATATCTGGTTGCGGCGTCGATGAAAGTGATGACGTAGTTAAAGTCGGCTTCTGCGTCGTCTCGAGGCATGTTTAAAATATCGCTGTAGACTTTTTCCATCGGAGCGTAAGTAGGTGCGCTTGGGTTGTGATGGGATGAAAAAGGTTGATGAGGAAGATCTGCTTCGGGGCATGTGAAGCACCGTGCGCGTGGTCGTCGAAGTTCTTGACCGCTCGTCGTCAGAAGGGCGTTGCGTTCTAACACCTCTGCTTGGATTGTTTGAAGTATTGTGCTGTTTGCAGGGTGTCCGAGGCGTTGGTGCCAGATGTCGTCGGGAGCACGGTGACCGGGCGAGCGGTGGTAGATGTCGGCGTTGGAGAAGAACGCGACGACCGAGGCGGGACTTCGACAAGCTTCTCGTGTGGCGGGCATAAGTTGGTCTGCTTCCGTTGGCGGTCCTCGTGTTGATGGTGGTGGTACTCGGCTGGGTCCTGCTGCCGATACTGCAGGTGATGGTTTTGTTGGGACACTTGCGGGTACTTGTCTTTCTTGTCTGATAACTGCTAATGCTCGTGTTCTCTCTGCTGCAGGTATGGTGTTGGAGTGCCAGAAGCCGTCGCTGTCGAAGTCGGGATCAAGATCTGGCGGATGAGTCCAGGCGGCGAAGGATACGATACCGTCGCTGTCGGCAGTTCCGCGGTCGGGGACGAAGTCCAACACGAAGACACCGGACTTCAGGAGGGCACGACCGATGAAGAGACCGCCCTTCCCGTGGTAAAGTCGGAACTCGTTGGAGAAGGAGTCGCACTCCAGGTGAATCCCCTTAGCCATTAGTTGGCTTACGCTTAATAGGTTGTATCCCAGATTGTCGACGATGAGGACCTTGTTGAGCTGCAGTATTACGTTTGTTTCCATGGATTGTAGCTGAACCACGCCTTGTCTGTTTGTCTTCAGGTTTTCGTTGTTGGCGACTGTGATGACGACGTCGCGGTTGAGTCGTTTCTCCTGTTGCACGAAGCGTCCCGAGGAGCACATGTGTTGACCGCAGCAGCTGTCCAAGAACCAGGTGTTTCGCCCGGTGGGTTCGGCGTTGGCGACTGCAGCGTATGTCGGGTTAACCTGAAGTCCTTGCGAGCGCGGTGGCGGGAATTCCTCTTCGTCTGGTGCGTAAGTGGGTGGTGAACCGGGTGCGCAGTTGTCGATGTGTACCATGCAGTTGATGATGTTGGGTGTTTGTTGTGCAGATGTTGAAGAGCGCCTTGGAGGACTTGCTTGAGTGGAAGCGACTTGTGGGTCTGCTGCACGGTAAACGCGAGGGCGGTTGCAGTTGACCTTGGAGTGCCCGGAAGTCTGACAGTTGTGGCAGAACGGCGGCACGATGGTGAGTCCTCGGTTGTCACGTTGATCTTGCTTGCTGCGTCGGTTGTAGTTGTTGTCATTTCTTCTTTGAGTGTAGAAGACTAACTGCTGTTGCTTCCTTGGTTGTCTTTCCTCGAACAGATCCATCTCCTGTTGTTCAGCGTGAAGCTCGGCGCAGAGGTGCATCTCCGAAATTCTTCCGTGGGCTCGAAGAAGTGATCGTGTGGTTCTCCATTCTGGCCCGAGCCCGGCGAGGACAAGTGTCACGAAGCTTTCTTCAGTGATCGTTCCTCCGCACCGAAGCAGGCGGTCGCGGAGGGTCTGGCAGCGACTCATATACTGCATCGCCTTTTCCCCGGTCTTCATCTGTATTGTTGTCAGCTGTTGCATGAGTCTGCTTTGTGTCACGCTGTCGTTTGCTTGATAGAGGCACTTGAGATGATGCCATGCGAGTTCCGCGGAGTTTCCATAACTTCGATACGTTCTGATGCTCTGCTGCTCTTGTGGTGACAGGTTTCTCAGGAGTACCGTATACGCCAGCAGCGACTGATACGTGAAGATTTCTTGTTCCTTCCCAGTGCCGTTGCTTGGGAATGGCAGGGACCCGTTGAAGTATCCCAGAAGATGCGCGGCCTCCATCAGCAGCTCGAACTCGAAGCTCCAGGTAAAGAAGTCGTGTCCGTTGAACGGTGAGGATGTCTGAAGTTTGATCACGTGTGAGAACTGCGCCTGTAAACTTAAGATTTCATTCGGTGTTTGTTGTGAAGCAGCTGCTGTTGGCTGGGCACGGGGCGGCATGAATTCGAACGTCCCCGGCGAAGAATGATAAGGCGCAAAGGTAGGCGCTTGATTGTGTCGCCCGAAGGATGAGTTGTCGAGGCTCATCGGCGCTAATCCCATATTCCCTCCATTGCTCTGTGTTGAGTGCGCAGGTGTCCTTGTCTGCTGCTGCTGATCGAAGTGTGACATGAAGCTGAAGAATCTCTCCATGAGATTCGGGTCCACACTTGAAGAGGGAGACGGGGTCACCATCTCTGGTACTCTTCCCGTTGTTTCTTGAGCAGTCCCGGTCTCTGTCTGCAGTCCTGAGGTGTGCAGACCAGAGTTGCCGTGTTGAGTTTCTTGGGCGCTGGGTGAGCCCGTAGAGACTTTCTTGCCCTTGTTGTCCATGTCTTGTAATCAATGAAGTCGTTGAATTGAGTTGAGTTGCAGGTTGTTGATAGGACGTAGTTGCTGGGAGTTTGGTCTCTGACCAGCTCTCATACCATGTTGGGCTGAAAAAGCCCTTAGGATCTTTTGCAGAGACTAAGTCCCAGCTGTAGAGACTTGAGACTTGGAGTAGTGCAGCGGAAGTTGAGGCAGTTGAACCCTTGTACTAGTATGTGAGAACAAGTGATTGATTAAAGAAACAAGCATACAGCAATATATAGAAGATAAGAAAGCAGTTGCAGAGTACAGTTACAGGAACGGTTTATCGAGTCGCATAGCGACTCGATTGCCGCTTCGGTTACCATCCGTGATGCTGTAACGGTCAGTCGCAACCTCCAGTTGCGACCCTTTGAGTCCCAGACCCTTCGTGTTCTTTGTCCGCCCCCTCGTGTAACCTCCGTTGACTCGCGTACCCCTTGCAATCTTCCTCGAGTGTAGTGTTACACTTCAGAAACGCTTAAGTCTTTTGATGTACTTTCAACACCAAGAATGCCCTTAGGAAAACGAGAGAAAATATGAAAAGGGGGGGAGGTCTAACAAGGTGGGGGGGGGGAGTGGGGGGGGGGGGGCTATACAGTCGTACCGTATAACAAAGGAGCACACATACAACAGTTTGATTTTTTTTTACTGCAATTTGCAATAGTTAGCACGCTGGGTTCCATAGCGAACCTTGCATCAAACATATCAAAGTTGCCTTGGGTGTTTGCAGGCTCAACCCACTTTCATCAAAGTTGCTTTCATGATAAAAGAAAAATGTTCTATACGGATCATAACTAAGTGTCAGGCGTAGACGAGATCTCGAGAATAATGCCTATATGTGAGGGTGACCATATCCAACGACTTATCGTTTGAATGGGTCTTCAACAGAAGGCGAAGCCTGGCACCCTTACTGTAGAGACACCCTTTCTGGAGGTTCGGGTTCAAACCCAGCCCTGCCCATACTCCAGCCTTGTATAAGAGGGAGGTTCGAGTTCAGATTCTTCTAACTAGGAGTCTAGCGAGGTTGAGGTTTAAGCGGTCTAAAAGCTACGTCAAGCCATCATATGGGGAGCGCGTGTTAGGCGGACATGGGCTCTCAGGCATTTAGTAATTCGGTACGAAGTAGTATGGCTTGCAGCGACCCAGTCGGGATTAAGATGGCAAGTCGCTAGGATGATCCGAGGGGATTCACTGACGGTGGTGGTACGAGAGTCTAAGAAGGAATACCAGAGACGTCTATTTTTGAGGCGCCTCAAAAATAGACTCCTCAGAGACGGAGGAGGGAAACCAAGACGCTAGGCCGTGGCCGTGAGAGACGGAGAGAGGGGAGAAAGTCGTTCGAATGAGGGCGTAAGCGACTCGTAAGGGGCACGTAAGACGTAGAAGACACATACGAGTGAAAATAAGAGTCGAATAAGAGCCGGTGCGCGTCAGCCGGAGGGCGTCAGCCGGAGGGCGTCAGCCGGAGGGCGTCAGCCGGAGGGCGTCAGCCGGAGGGCGTCATGGATCAGCTCTTCGCCGCTGCTCTCGAGGAGATCGCGCTCGAAGGACGGGAAGGTAAGCCAGGAGTCAGCAGGTATCCAGATGACTTTTGAGTCGACTCGAAAGTCATATCGCTCTCGATGGACGGGAAGGTAAGCCAACCAGTAGCCAGTAGATCAGCAGCACCAGCAATCTCGGAGTAACTTGCACAGCAGCACTCGCCGAGTAGCGTGCACAGCAGCAATCTCCGATTCTAGCTGCAGCAACTCTTTGAGTTGCCTTTCAACATCTCCTTATACGGGGCTCGTCAGTGGGGTCAGTGTGGTCAGTGCGAAGTGCTCACAGGCCAAGAGCACTCCGCTTGCCTCCCGCCAATGCCCCCTTTCCCCCCTCTTTTTGCTGCATTTCCAGTTTAGGAGAAGGACTCACAATGCACCTTCCGCCTCCCCACCCGATCTATCCTCCTCGTTGCAGGCTGTTCAATCTCCGCGCTATGGCGCCTGCTCTCCCCCGCGTGCCAGCAACTCCGCCTGCCTCTCCCCCTGGATCCCTCCTTCCGCCAGCTGCTCTTCTTCCGCCTCCTCCGCTGCCCCTCCCTCTCCCTCCTCTCCCCTCGTCCCCTCCCCGGCTTCGCCCCCTTGGATGATTCTGTCCTGGACGACTATAGCACAGGGGGGGAGGGAAGAGGGGGGTGTGGAGAAGAGGGAGGAGGAGGGGGAGCAGGAGGAGGAGGGTTAGCAAGGGCTTTTACGGTAGTAGCAGAGGGAGGGGAGGATGAGTGTGGGGATGAGGAGGGGAGAGAGGACGCGAAGGGCAAGAAGCAGAGCAAGAAGAAAGGGAAGGAAAAGCCCGTGAGGTACCGGTGGGTGGGATACGGGGTTGTGGGAGGAGATGTAGACGTGGGAGGCGGACAAGAAAGAATAGGGCAGGGGTTTAAGGAGAGAGCGCATGGCAGGCGAGTAGCAGAAGCTGTGGGGGGAGGAGCAGAAGGATCGGGAGGAGCGGGAGAGTGGAGATGGGAGGATGCGGAGAGGGAGGAGGGGGTGGTGGTGGTGGCGCATAAGGGGCTGCGGCTGGCGTGTGTGGGCGTGTACGAGGAGAGTGAGTACGAGTGCGGGCTCAGCGACCTCATGATCGACACGCTGGAGCTCGTTGGCAAGACCAGGTGCGTGCGTCCTTGTGTGCGTCCTCTTGCACGTGTGCCTTCTTGTGTGTTTGACTGACTGTCTTCCGTTTGACTAGGCCTGTCTGGTCTTGGTGGCTGATGTATGTGATGTGACCTCAGCGGGGGACTCACCAGTTTGTGATGTGATGGTCTTTGTGGCTGGTGTATGTGACGTGATGTGACCTCACCAGTAGGGAGACTCTCAGTGACCTCATGATCGACACGCTGGACCTCCTAGGCAAGACCAGGTGCGCCCTCGTGTGTGTTTGACTGCTGTCTTCCGTTTGATCACTTGTGGCGGACTGGACTTGGCGACCTTGGCTTGTCGATCTGGTCTTGACTGGATCGACACGCTAGGCCGTGTCGACAAGTACAGTGCTCTCTCGAATCGGATCCTCCCTGATAGTCTCAACCTGAAGAGGAGTCTCACCTTATAGGCTGAAGAGCAAGTGGATGATTTTCACTACCTATGGGGCACAGTGCAGAGCAGCAGCTGGCACAGTGCAGAGAAACAGGGAGAAATCGCGGCCCCTCCCCTTCTGTTTCTCTCTGCACCTCACACTTCCGTCCACCCTCTCTCACTCCCTCCCTCCACCCACCCCACACTCCAGGCGTGATGGGGTCTCGCAGGCGCAGCTGGCCAAGACGATGAGGGTGAAGAACAACAACTTTCACTACGTGCTGCGGTCGCTGGAGGCCCGCCACCTCATCGCCATCCATGCCGTGGTCACCCGCCAATCTTCCGGACCCAACACCGCCGCCGCTGCTGCTGGTCGCTCTGGCGGTTCTTCTGCTGCTGCTGCTGCTGCGTCCAATGGCGTTGCTTCTCAGGCGTGCCGCACCAACATGCTTTACCTCTCCCGGTTCTCACCTGCAACTATCATGGGGCATGGCAATTACCATGTTCTTCCCGCTTCTGGCGCGGGGGATCAGATAGGAGCAACGGGAGGAGCAGCAGGGGGAGGGGCAGCGGATGCGTGGGACGGTGGTGCTGAGGGGGGAGGGTGGATGGTAGCAACAGGGGGCGTGGCAGGTGGAGGAGGAGGAGGGAGGGGAGGTGGAGGAGTGAGTGTGAAGGGGACGGGGGGGGCGGTGGTGCTGAGGGGAGTGGACGATGATGTGGCCGCTATTTCCGGCATTTGCCAGTATCTCTCAAACGTGCATGGGAAGGTGCGTGCGTGCAGTGCGTGCAATAGAGTCTGCTTGTATTGGGCTGTGTGGCATCCAGTGGAACACAAGCTCTCTTATACATACTTGCTCGTTTGCTCCCTTCACCCCTTTTCTTTGCCTCTGAATAGCTCTGCACTGACTATGTCGGATGCTAGTGCGCGCGGCAGGGAACTCTAAGGTTGCATGATTTTTGACTGACAGAATGCTTAGCCTGGTTTCTTCTCCCCCTTCTCCTCCCCCTCCTCCTCCTCCCCCTCCTCCTCCTCCTCCTCCTCCTCCTCCTCCTCCTCCTCCTCCTCCTCCTCCTCCTCCTCCTCCTCCTCCTCCTCCTCCTCCTCCTCCTCCTCCTCCTCCTCCTCCTCCTCCTCCCCCCTTGTTCCCATTGCCACACCTCTCTTTCGCTCTCAAGCGGTCCTTGTATTGCTGAAAACGTTGGTACAGGCTCAGCATGCAAAGAGCATCACAAGGTAGGCACATACAACTAGTCTAGCGGGCCCCACCTATGGGGAGCTCCGCCAAAGGCTCCAGGACCGCGAAGCAGTCAGCCAAAGAGAAGGTCTCCTCGGGGGAGCCCAGTGGGGGGTGCTCGACCAGGGCAGTCTCGTAGACCTTCTTGAGGTACGAGGTGGCTTGCTCCCACTGTAGTGCCACGGACCACCTCTGCCGGAATTGGTGAAGCATTTTGGCGGCTCGGTAAGTAGAGGGGTCCGCATTGAACAGCTTCCGGGCGGCGGCTTCCGCTAGTTGCTTCAGGAAGGCTGGAATCTCCCAGCAGGGGCAGCCGTATGTCTCGACCGCCAGTGGGTAGAGGCTTACATAGGCCGCCCGATTCCTGTAGTGGTCGATCTTGTCGTCTGCTCGCTCGCGTGCCGCCCAACCCCACTGTTTTCTTGCATGCGGGTCGTGGGTACCGATTAGGTCGGTGACAGTGACGTCACAGATCCATACGGCCCCTGCCTCGCGGTCTCGAATCGCTAGGTCGGCCTTGTGGCCATCGACGGGGCAGAAAACGGTTGTCTCTTTGTAGACGATGTACCCCGCGTCCTGCCCCATCCGCACACACTCGTCCCGAAGGGCTTTGTGCGTGTCCGTCCGTCCATGTCCCGTCCCGCAGCGGAAAAGGTGGTTGGGGAGCCGCGGGTCAAGGATGGAGATGCGGTCCGAACAATCGCAGATGCTAGGTGTTGAGAAGGGAGGCCAAGGCGGAATGCAAGGGCAAGGGCGAAGTGGGCAGGGCCGAATCGGAGGGAAGGGAAATGCGGGATGGCCAGGAGCCAGTCCCCGGCTCGATAGCGCGAGAGGGATATCATCCTCTGGGTGTGTCCTGAGAAGGGGTTGAGTTCCATCTCTCGGGTGGCGGCTACCTGGCTAGCAAACCGCCCCCCCTGGACCTCCAGCGAGAGCTTGTGCTGCAGCGGGACGCTCGCAGCAACCTCGCGTTCAGCGTGCAAGAGCTCCCGGGCACCACCGGGGAGTCCCGCTTCGCACGCGGCTAGCCAGGTATGTTGTGGGGTCGGGGATGTGAAGGGTGGGCATAGGTGGCGTGTAGCTTGTTGTAGAGGTGCGTCCAGCTGGCAAGGGAGGGCGGCCAGCAGGGAGTGGACCTGAGTCGCGCTTGTAATGAAAGAGAAGCCGCCCTCTACAAGGGGGTCGGCTAGGCCTAGTCCCCCGAGCGATGGGGGAAGGGTTGAGGTGCGGTCGAGCTGCGTGTCACCACGTGGCAGCTGCAGGCGGCAGGCTAGAAGCAGGGTGTGGAACAGTTGCCGTCCCCACTAGGACCATTCGTTCTCAAGGAGGAGCTTCAGGGGGGTCGTACAGATCAGGTAGGATACACGGCGGCAGGATATGCAGCGTTGGAGGAGTAGGGATGCCAAGTGCGGGTCCATCTGGTGGACGAGAGGCAGCGGCGAAGCCAGCTTTGACAGCTGCGCTCGGAGGAAAGCGGCAGCACCCTCCGGCGGACTGATGTGGCTCCTCAAGATCCTGAGTCCCTCCGTGCAAACGGGGATCCCGGGTGGCATCATCTCTGGCGGAGGCCGAGTGCGGCTCCATGCGGCGCATATGGCGGGGTTGTGTGTCAAGCCGAGCGGGAGCATGGCATCGGTGAAGTGTGTGAAGGCTGCGCTGCATGCGGACGGCTCGCCTAGAAAGGTTATGTCATCTGCTTATGCAAGGCAGAGTACCTCGGGGAAGGCAGCGGCTGTCGCGCAGAGGGCTGGGTGGATTTGTGCCGCGAAGAGAAGTGGGCCCAGGGGATCACCCTGGCGAACCCCCTGCTCGCTGAGCAGTGGGGGGCTGTTGAAGCCAGCGTCGAGCAGTTAGGCGGAGGGGCGGCCATAGGAAAAGCGGACTAGTGGCAGGAAATGACGCAGCGACGAATTGGCAAGAGCCTGGACGATCGCCGCTCGGCCAATGCTCTTGAAGGCGTTGGTGAGGTCAACTTGGATGACGAGTGCGCCGGGGTGGGTGTCGGCGAAGGCGCGCGCTGTGTGAATGCTCACCTCCCCGCCGCTGGGCACAATGGGAGGGGAGGACGTAAGCCTCGGATGGCTCCCCAGCGGCCGTGAGTGCAGATTTTGCTGTCAGGCGATGGAAGCACTCCCAAACTGCGATGGGCCTGGTCCCACCGCCAGGCTTGGTGAGTGCGAGCAGGCGGGACAACGTGAGGAGCGAGGCGACGTCGTCTGGCAGATGGTCACGCATTGCGATGGTGATGAGTTCGTGTAACTCGATGGCGATCGAAGAATCCACGAGCGCTGAGTCACGGAGGTGTTCACGGGTCCTCCCTGATGGCCCTGCCCTGACTCCGCTTTCGCAGCGGCTGAGGAGTTTCGCGAATGTCACAAATGGGATGGAAAGTGGTGCCAGGTGGTTGTCGAGGACTGGCCATTCGGGGGAAGGGGTCAACGCTGGTGGGTGCTTCGAATTGAGGGCGTTGAGGATGACAGCAGAGGGGACACAGATGGGGGTTGACTCGAGGGCCATCTCTGCCCGTCGGAGGCTGCCACGTCAAGCTAACCCCTCCGCCGTGGATATTTTCCCCAGGTCGTCCTGAATGTGACGTGGCGGGGGGTGGGGATGAAATCGCAGTGGCAGCGTCCTGGTAGAGGGGCTCCCATTCGCCTGTGAGGAATTTCTGTAAGCGGGATTCGATGGCCTTCCAATCGGGCCGCCGCAGCGAACCCACGCGAAGTGTCAGGTGAGGGAAATACAGGAAGAGGCGCCACCCAGCAATGGAGGACGAATTTTCGAAGGTGTAGCAGCAGGACTAGGAGCGTGAGAGTGAAGAGGGGGCGAAGGTTTGGGGGCAGTCGGCGGCGAATCGGGGGCTGGGGACTGTCGCATAGAGCTTGGATGTCCCAACTGGCGATATTTGTGAATTTGGATTCGTCGGAGGCCAGTTCCTCCGGCGAAATTTGTGGAGGGATTTGAGACGGGTTGGGCAGCGATGCCCGGGCATTCTGGCGCTGCCTCCCCTGCCCGCCTCCAGCCTGTCTGGTGTGAGATCCGGCTCGGGCAGTCCTTCGAGCTTCAGCTTCCTCTGCCTCTGCGGCGGCTGAGCCATTGGTGGCTGACTCCGAGTGCACAGGCTGTATATACATCCTATCTTCGTGCTCCTCATCCTCAGTTGTTCCGTCTCTTTCATGCGCCCTTAAAGCCCTCCTCGCAGCCTGCTGAAAACCGTCCTCAGGTCCTCCGCCCTGGGCGACCGATCCTCGCACGCGTCCCTCGCCTCTGCCCTGAGCATTGCGCCCGCCGCATCTCCTGCGTCCCCTGCTCGCTGAGGCCGGAGTCACGGATCTCCGGCCGCCTGCGAGTCCTGTCGATGGTCGAGGATTAGCCGCTGCCGGTGATGGACCTCGCGCCACGCGAGTGTCAGGAGCATTCCCTGGATATCGAGAGCACGGCGGAGAGCGTGTACCCCCGAGGTTAGGCAACTCTCCCTGCCCAGTCGTCGCGGTCGTGGGAGCGGGGGCTAGCTGGCCGCCAGAGCCGACCCCAGTCGCCGGACCCCTTGCCTCAGAAGAACGCGAGAAGACACCGCCGCTCGCGTGCGCAAGTGGTAATGCTGAGCGCCCGGTGACTCCGCCGCCGCCGTGGTGCTCCCGCCCACCGTCGTCTCCCCTGGTGGCGCAGGGGCGGCGCACGCCGCATCGCCCGCAGCCTCCGCTGCGAAATCCGCGGACTCCAGGGGGTCGCGGGCAGAACGGGCAGCACCGAGGGTGGCGCACGTCAGAGCATGCGTGGATCACTCTCCTGGAGCGCCAGCAGGCGAGCAACACGGCAGCGATCCAGGGGATATGGCGAAACGTTCAGGCGCTCGCGTCAGCTCCACCGCTTCTGCCCCAACCTGCCGACCCTCTGCATCAGCAGGAGCCTCCGTCCTCCTATCCCCCGCAGCGGCCCGCTCCATATGGCCTCCCATCGTCAATGCAGCCTCCGGTGCAGCCTCTCGCGCACCCTCCGGTGCAGCCTCTCGCGTACCAGACACAGCCTGCGCTAGCTCCGGCAGGTTCCCTGGCTGCTCCCCTTGCTCTGTCACACTATCTCCAGGCGGCGCCCCTTGCCCCTCTGTTTATGCCAGTGTCGGAGCTGTCGAACGACTCGCTGCACTCGTGGCAAGCCCCGCCGCTGCCATCCTCCGTGCATCGGTGGGCCCGTCCCTCGTCACAGCCGCCACAGACGGCAGAGGCAGGCGCTGGGGTGTACCGCCCTTTTGTGCCTCCGCGTCGGATGGTGTCTTCCCCAACTGGAGTTGAGGGGGGGCATAAGCAGCGGAGACGGAGGGAGCGGAGTCCTTGGAGGAGTACTCTCCCCACTGCCGCAGCTGGCAGGGGCGTCGTCGGGTGGGGGGACTTCGGGTGCCGGCGAGGGTGCAGGTCGAAGGCCTGCCCGGGAGGGAGCGCACGGAGAGGGAAGTGGCGATTTCAGATGCCACATATCGCCCCATGGGCTACTCGTAGCAGGCGCTCCCTGCTGACGGCGGTGTCGGTCGATGCCCACTCGTCAGTGCTGGGCTCAGGGGGCCAGCGTAAGATGCCGCACTCACTTCTCCGAAAGAGCTCGGACACCGTTGGGGATCTAACAGTTGCGGTCGGGCGCGCGCTGCCAGTGCCCGCCCCGGTAACTGGCTTGGACCCGGCCTTGGTCGCCGCAGTGATAGCATTGTCGGCGAGCATAACATCGGTGTCAGCTGTAGACCTCGTTGGAGGTTGTGTGTCAATGCTCCGGGTTCTGGACGGTAGTAGGCTGAGTTCGGTGGGAGGAGGTAGTCGGCTGAGTACTGTGTCTGAAGGCGCAGGCTCAAGGGCAGAGACGGAAGGAGAGCAGGGGGGGGACAGCAGGGAGAGTCTCGGCAAGGGGAATGAGGAAGGATGGCTCAAAGTATCCCCTGGGGGTGGTTTTCAGAAAGAAGGTCCTGCGCGCGGATGTCGATATCAAGGGCAAACACCGGCATGGCAGGATGTTCTCGACAGAGCCGGAGGCAGCAGCGTGGGCTGCTGTTACGAGGGTCGTGTGGACGGATAGGACCTCGGACGAGAAGTTAACGAAGAAGGGTAGTGATGTGCTGCGCGTGATGAAGATGGAGGAGTTGAATTTTTTTATTCAGCGCAGGGGGCGGCAGTTGGAGGAATGGTGGGAGAGGGTAAGCAGTCCTGTGAGAGAGCGGAGGCCTCAGGGGAGCCAGGGCCTGCGCATCAGGTCGGAATGGGGACGCCGGGACGGAATCCGCCGGCATTTCTGTGCCCCAGTGAGGAGGGGGGGATCCCACGCGTCTCTCCCCTGTACAATTTGTGGATCCGAGTCCAGCCGGCAAAACGGGATGGTGATGGTGGTCGTGCTGGTGCTGCGGGTCGTTCTGGTGGTGCTGGTGGTGCTGGTGGTGTGGGGAGCGCGGAGGATGGTGGTCATGGTGGTGGTGCTGGTGGTGTGGGGAGAGCGGAGGATGGCGGTCATGGTGGTGGTGCAGATGCTGGTGCTGGTGGAACTGGAAGGCTCCACCAGCACCCCACGCTCTCACCACCACCCCACGCTCATGGTGGGGATGACGACATGGAGGTGGAGCCTTCGAGCCCTTGGGTGGGAAAGATGAGAATTGAACTAAGAACAGAGAAAATGAGAGGGAGGGGCCTTATATAGCTAGGAAAGGACCCTCTCTCTCTCTCTCTCTCTCTCTCTCTCTCTCTCTCTCTCTCTCTCTCTCTCTCTCTCTCTCTCTCTCTCTCTCTCTCCTCTCTCTCTCTCCTCTCTCTCTCTCTCTCTCTCTCTCTCTCTCTCTCTCTCTCTCTCCTCTCTCTCTCTCTCTCTCTCTCTCTCTCTCTCTCTCTCTCTCTCTCTCTCTCTCTCTCTCTCTCTCTCTCTCTCTCTCTCTCTCTCTCTCTCTCTCTCTCTCTCTCTCTCTCTCTCTCTCTCTCTCTCTCTCTCTCTCTCTCTCTCTCTCTCTCTCTCCTCTCTCTCTCTCTCTCTCTCTCTCTCTCTCTCTCTCTCTCTCTTTCTCTCTCTCTCTCTCTCTCTCTCTCTCTCTCTCTCTCTCTCTCTCTCTCTCTCTCTCTCTCTCTCTCTCTCTCTCTCTCTCTCTCTAACGGTCCTTCATTGCTGGGAGATCCTTGGTACAAGCGAGGCATATACGGTGAGTACAAGCATGTATGAGGGACTGGCCGGACTCCTACTCTATCGCTACTCCCCCGGGTGCTCGATGACAGCGAAGCAGTCCCCGAGGGACATGTCCGCGTCAGGAGCACCGAGGGGGGGCCATTCGAGCGGCAAGGCGTCGTTCACCTTCCCGAGGTAGGTGAGGGCTTGACCCCGCTGGAGGGTGACAGACCAGCGCTGGCGGAACTGGCTGAGTAGTTTAGCCGCCTGGTAGGAACTGGGGTCGGCGTTGAAAGGCGGCGGGCGGCCGTGTGTGCCAGGAGTTTAAGGAAGGTTGGCACCTCGGCGCATGGGCAGCCATACGTCTCGACCGCGAGTGGGAAGAAACCGACGTATGCTGCCCGGTGGCGGCATTCGTCGATCTTCTTGTCCGCCTGCTCCCGGGTCATGTATCCGCGGCCCTTGCGCGCTAGCGGGTCCCGGGAGCTGACTGGGTCGGTGACGGTGACGTCACAGATCCAGACCGCCCCCGAGTCCCGTTCACGTACGGCCAGGTCGGCGGTCTTGCCATCGACAGGGTTGTAGATCGCCGTTTCTTTCGTGACTATAAGCTGTGCGTCTCGCCCCATGCGGACGCACTCATCTCGGAGGGCATTGTGGGTGTCAATGCGACCGTGTCCCGTCCCACAACGGAAGAGGTGGTTTGGTAGGCGGGGGTCTACTATCGCCACCTGTTGGGCGCAGTTGCGGACCCTGGGTGCCGGGAAAGGGAGGCCCATACGGAACGCCAGGGCGATGGCATAGTGAGGCGGCGCCAACCGAAGAGATGGGAATAGGGGGATGGCGAGGAGCCAGTTGCCGGCGCCATACCCAGTGAGGGAGAGGAGCCGTTGGGTGTGGCCGCTGAGGGGGTTGGGATCCATCTCCCTTGACGCAGCCAATTGACGGGCGAAGCGGGCTGCGTGTACCTCCAGGGCAAATCGGTGTTGGAGAGGTTCGTCCGAGGGTTCAGCCCGCTCGGCCCGCAGGAGCGCCAAGGCTGGAGCTGGGAGGGCCGACTCGCATTTCGCCAGCCAGGTATGGAGACGCGAGGGGCTGTGAACGGAGGGGCCAGGGAGCATGCCGCTGCAGCGAGTGGGCCTGTCGGGTCCGAAGGAAGGGATATGAGCAGCCGGTGGGCCTGTGTGACGCTAGTGAGGAAGGCGTGCGGGCCCTCTATTGCGGGGTCCACGAGGCCGAGGCCGCCGAGAGTGGGGGGCAGAGAGGCCTGTTGCCACATGCGCGACCGCTCCTGTTCACCCCGTGGGAGCTGAAGGTTGCACGAGAGGAGGAGGGTATGGAAGAGCTCCTGGCCCCAGTTGGACCATTCCTCGGTCGGCAGCGAGTCTAAGGGGGTGGTGCGGGTGAGATAGGATACGCGTCGTGAGACGCAGCGGTGGAGGAGAAGGCCCGCGGCCTGGGGGTCCATGGTCGCCTGGTCAAGTAGCGGTCTGGCCATGTCAGCCAGCTGCTCCCGAAGGAAGGCGGCTGTGGCTTCAGTAGGGCCGAGATGGCTCCCGAGGACGCGCAGACCGTCAGCGCGGAAGGGGATGCCCGGGGGGACAATGGGGCTGGGGGGCTGGGAAGCTGACCACGCTGCGCACTTGGAAGGGTTGTGCGCGAGGCCCAAGGGGCGTAGGGCCTCCGTGAGATGTGTGAACGCCGACGCGCATTCCGACGGCTCTCCGAGCAGCGTGATGTCGTCGGCGTATGCGAGGCAGAGCACGCTAGGAAACGCCGAGGCTGTCGCCTGGAGTGCCGGGTGTAAAGCCGCCGCGAAGAGCCCGGGCACTATGGAGGGGTTCACTGCCGAATCCCGCGTCTAGGTAGAGGCGCGACGGTGCGCCGTAGGAGAGTTTGACGAAGGGGAGAAGCGGCCGGAGGGGCGAGAAGGCCCGCCTTCGCCATGGTGGGGTGCAGGCATTCGCCTATGGCAATAGGTCGCGTGCCGCCTCCGGGCTTGGAAAATGCTATGAGGCGGCTGGCGGTGAGTATGGCGGCGATTTCGGCGGTGGAATCCCCTTTGAGCAAACGTAGTGCAAGCTCATGCAGCTTGCCAGCGACCGAATTGTTAGCGAGGGCAGCTTCGCGAATGTGCTCGAAGCACATTCCTGAAGGCCCTGCGCCCACTCCGTTTTCGCGGCAACTCAGCAAGCGAATGAACTCGGCTTGCGAAAACGAGGGACCCGCCTCGGACTCGTCAAGGATGGGCCAGGCGATTGACTCAGTCAACGGGGCGGGGTGCTTGGACTTCAGAGCCTCGAGGACGTCGGGGGTTGAATCGCTGACCGGGGTCGAGTCCAGTGCCAGCAGGGCACGTCGGAGACTGCCTCGGCGGACAAGCCCCTCTGCTCGCTTTTGCCCGCCGATGTAGTCTGCCGTGTGGCGAGATGCGGGGGGGTTATGCACAGCGTCGATTGGTGACAGGTACAGCAAATGCCATTCGCCGGCGAGGAACTTCTGCAGTCGCTTTTCCACAGCGGCCCAATCTGGGTGCTTGGGCGAGTGCAGGCGAAGGGTTAGGCGAGGGACGAAAAGTAACAGGCGCCAACCTGCGAGGCTGGTGGGCCTGTGTGCAATATGAAGCAGGGGTGTCAGAAGTGCTAGAGCGAAGAGCTGACGAAGTTTGGGGGGGATTCTGCGGGAAATCGGGGGTTGGCGACTGTCGCATAGCAGGTCGATATCCCATCCCGCCACCCCGGCGAACAACAGTTCGGTGGACGACAACTCCTGTGGCGAGAACTGCCTTGGGTTCGCGATCGCTGGCGTAATACTGGCGCGGGAGGTACGCGTATTTCGCGCACTCCCTCTGGCAGCCTGGGCGGGAGAGTCTAGCGGCTGTGTGCCCACAGGTCCTTGTCCGCGGGATCTGAGCGATGGGGACGGATTCCCGCCTCGTCTGCGCGACAATGCTCTCTCCTCCCATGCATCACTGGACTCCTCCGTTGATGATTCCTGGAGCCTCTCCGGTGCATAAGTTGTGTCTCATCTCTCTTCCTCGTCAGTTACCTCCCTTTGCCCTTCCTCCCTTTGCCCTTCCTCCCTTAAAGCCCGATTAGCAACCTGCTGGAAGTCGTTCATCGGGCCGCCATCCCGTGACAAGACTCCTGTCCGACCTCGCCCGCGCCCCAGGCCTCTCCGGTCCCGGCTTCCGCTGCATCCTACTGTCACACCGCCCGACGCTCGCCGACCGGTCCGACGAGCAGGCGACGCCGTGGGGGGCGTTCGGGCCGTCAATGGAGTCCCCCCTAATTGTGATGGGAGTCGAGCGTTCCCGCCGCGAACGCTCCCGCGATTGGAGAGCACGGGGGAGAGCGCCCCCTGCCAAGAACAGGCGAGCTCCCCGCCGCCCTTGAACCACGATTGGGAGCGCGGATTCCCCGTCCCGTCAACGAGCCGTCAGCAGACCCCGGAGCGTCTGTCGGGCAGCCGCCGCTCGTCCCTAGCACGTCACGAGCGGAAGGCCCCCGAGCGTGCGAACCAAGACCAGCCGGGGGCAGCGCAGCCTCTGCAGCAGCAGCAGCCTCTGCAGCAGCAGCAGCCTCTGCTGGTCCCGCCGCGTCGAGGCACGCCCCAGCGCGGGGCGCAAGCGGCTCCAGCCCAGCAGCGCCGGACGCCGCAGGGGCAGCGTGGGCAGTCTCGTCCGCACCGCAGGCGGAGGGCTGGCGGTGGGAACGGTCGTGGGTCAGCCGTGGAGAGGCGGCTGGGACGCGCCGCAGCGACCCTGGAGAGCCTGTTCCAATCGGTTGCCGTGCCTCAGCCGGCACCCGGCCGTCCTCAGCAGCAGCCACCGCCTGTGCAGGTGTACCCTTCTCCGTTCGCCCCTCCGCAGATGGTGCCCCAGCCCCTTCCTCCGCACGTGTCCGCAGCGCAGCCTCCGCCCCCCTACCAGCGGCCTCCTCAGGCACCCCACCCCCCTGTCCCACAGTATCATCCTCGGCAGCAACCCGTCCCTCACTATCCGTCGCATCCAGTGGCTGCGCCGACGGGAGTACCGACAGTGCGGTCGCTGCCGAGCTGGCAGCCGCCACTGCTGGAGACATCGGCAGAAGGATGGCCCGAGAGCCAGCATCCCCCGCTGTTCTTTGACGAGCGGGCGGGTGCGCCGTTTGTTCCCCCCCGGCGGGCCCTGGCATCCCCGACTGGGGTTGAGGGGGGGGCAGAAGCAGCGGAGATGGGGGGGGCGGAGTCCTGTGATAAAGGCTCCCCCCCAGAGCTACTGGAGCCGCGCCGGCCAAGCGGTGTACGGATGCCGCTGAGGGTGCAGCTGGAGCGGCTTCGGGGGAGAGGGCGACACGCGGAGACAGCGATCCCAGTCGCCACGCTTCGTCGACTCTGGCACGCGAGGCGGGCGATGGGGATCGCCGTGGAGATGCTGGCGGACTCACACTCCGTGCTTCGGAACTCAGCGAGCCCATGCAGGATGCCGCATGATCCTCTTCACCGCTGCGCGATGGCAGCAGCTGATCTCGCGGTCGTGTCGACGCGTGTGTAGCCTGTGCCCGCCCCGGGAACCGTGTTGGACCCACGTCTGCTCGTCGTGATGCGTGCAGTATCGGCGAGCATAGACTCGGCCGCAGTTGTAGACATCGTTGGCGGCGCCTTGTCAGTGCTCCAGCTCCTGGTGGGCTATGTGGCGGCCCTTCTCGAGGAAGCGGGAGCAGACCAAGTCGCGTGACCGGCCCCCTTCGCGCGTACGTGCGGTAGGGCGACGCTCTCACCGGCGAGAGTCCCTCAGCACGGCTGATGAGGCTCTCCATGCCGCCGGAATAGGTAGTCGCTAGAGTGTGTGCTTGGCCCGTGGGGCGTAGGCTGTCACTGCTTGTTTTTGTTGACGAATGGTTTGCAGATTCCTTGCCGTCCCCAAACGCGCGGCCAAAGGCCGCCGGCGCGAGGCGCCACCAAGGGTGGGAGAAAAATGAAGAACAGAAAACTGAGCAAGAAGAATGAGCTAGGGAGAGGGCTTAAATAGCTAGGGAGGGACTCATCCTCTCTCTCTCTCTCTCTCTCTCTCTCTCTCTCTCTCTCTCTCTCTCTCTCTCTCTCTCTCTCTCTCTCTCTCTCTCTCTCTCAAGCGGTCCATGTATTGATTGAGAACGTTGTACATACTAAACAAGTGGGCAGACTTCAAACCATATCGAAGGTACGTGCATGCTGGGGATGGGCAGCCGGACTACTGGAGCTCCCCGAGGGGCTCCGCTATGGCAAAACAGTCCCCTAGGCCCATGATGGCGTCAGGGGTACCCACGGGGGGGTACTCTGCCGGGGCAGCCTCGTTGACTTTTCCGAGGTAGGCCAGGGCCTGTGCCCGCTGGAGCGTGATGGACCAGCGCTGGCGGAACTGATGCAGCAGCTTCGCCGCCTGGTAGGAGCTCGGGTCCGCGTTGAAAAGCCGCCTTGCCCCTGTGTCCGCCAGGAGCTTCAGAAAGCTGGGGACCTCGGCGCAGGGGCAGCCATAGGTCTCCACGGCCAAGGGGAAGAAGCCAACATAAGGTGCGCGGTTACGGTAGTGATCAATCTTCTTATCGGCCTGTTCCCGGGCCATATATCCCCGCCCCTTGCGTGCGTGCGGGTCCCGGGTGCTGATGGGGTCCGTGACAGTGACGTCACAGATCCAGACGGCACCGGAGTCTCTGTCGCGCATGGCGAGGTCGGCCTTATGGCCGTCCACCGGGCTGTAGGTAGTGGTCTCCTTGGTAACGATGAACCCGGCATCTCGCGCCATACGAATGCACTCATCGCGGAGTGCGTTGTGGGTGTCTGTCCGGCCATGTCCCGTGCCGCAGCGGAAGAGGTGGTTGGGCAGCCGGGGGTCAGGGATCTCAGTCTCGTCTGCGCAGTTGCAGTTGCGTGGGGCTGGGAAAGGGAGGCCGAGGCGGAAGGCGAGGGCGATGGCAAAGTGCGGTGGTCCGAGGCGGAGAGAGGGGAAGATGGGGATGGCATGGATCCAATCCCCTGCCCCGTAGCCTGCAAGGGAGAACAGACGCTGGGTGTGGCCGGAGCTGGGGTTCAGCTCCATCCCGCGGGACGCTGCCACCTGGTCCGCATATCGGGCGGCGTGGACTTCTAGGGAGAGCCGGTGCTGGAGGGGGTTTCCGGATGGTTCCTGGCGTTCGGAGCGCAGGAGCTCTAGTGCATGGGTAGGCATGGCTGCCTCACACCCCGCCAGCCAGGTATGGAGATGGTTGGGGCTGGAGAAGGGGGGGGTGAGGGGGCGCAGTGCGGACGCCAGGGGCCCATCGGCTGCTGCTGGCAGGGCGGCGAGGAGGTGCTGCGCCTGGGTGACGCTGGTCAGGAAGGCTGGGGGGCCTTCAATGGCAGGATCGGAGAGGCCCAGCCCGCCGAGCGAGGGCGGAAGTGAGGCTTGGGCCCAGGTGCGCGCGCGTTCGGCTTCCCCTCGAGGAAGTTGGAGGTTGCACGCGTGAAGGAGGGTGTGGAAAAGCCCCCGTCCCCACTCCGACCACTCGGGTTGTGGGAGGAAATCCAGGGGCGTGGTGCGGGTCAGGTAACTGACCCGCCGCGAGATGCAGCGCGTAAGGAGGAGCGACGCTATTTGGGGGTCCATGGAGGCGATGGTGGGGAGTGGTTCGGCCAGCGAGGCCAGCTGGGCGCGGAGGAAACCAGCTGAGCCCTCCGCGGTCCCGACAAAACTCCCCAGCACCCGTAGCCCCGCGCTGTGGAAGGGGACGTCCGGGGGAATGGCGTCGGGCGGGGGAGGGGTGGGGGACCACGCACCACATTTCGAGGGGTTGTGCGTGAGGCCGATGGCCCCGACTGCGCCCGTGAAGTGGTGGAAGGCCGCTGTGCAGGCGGCCGGATCACCCACGAACGTCACGTCGTCCGCGTAGGCTAGACAGAGGACGTCGGGGTGGGCGACAGCTGTTGATTGGAGCGCGGGGTGGATGGCTGCGGCGAAGAGCAGGGGGCCCATGGGGTCCCCTTGTCGAACGCCCCGTGCACTCTGGAGTGGGGGGCTGGCGAAACCGTCATCGAGGTAGAGGAGCGAGGGGGAGCCGTAGGAGAAACGGATAAACGGTAACAGCGAACGAAGGGGCGAGGCGTCGATAGCGGTGATGATTGCCCCTCGCTCAACGCTGTTAAACGCGTTAGTGAGGTCCACTTGGACGATCACAGAGCTGGGACGAGCGGAGGTGAAAGCCCGAGTGGCGTGGATGATTGCCTCCCCGCCGCTCCGAATTGCGACGCCGAACTGAAGTGGCAGAAAGTATTCTTGTGCGGGCTGAGTTGTTGAGATGAGGGCTGCTTTGGCGGTAAGGCGATGGAGGCATTCGCCGATGGCGATGGGGCGTGTTCCGCCATCGGGTTTGCGAAGGGCCAGCAGACGTGACGCGGTTAACAGCCCGCTGACCTCCTGGGGCAGGTTACCGGCGAGGAGCAGCTGCACAATTTCGTGTAGGAGCTTAGCGACGTGCGGATTGGTGAGCGAGGCGTCCCGCAGGTGTTCGAACGTCATCCCCGAAGGACCGGCGCCCACCCCATTTTCGCTACGCGAAAGTAGGCGAATGAAATGGGCGAAGTCGAGCGTCGGTGGGTTGACGTCGTCCAGAGAGGGCCACGTGAGGTCCTCGGTCAACGGCCTCGGGTGTTTGGACTTCAGCGAGTCAAGAACCTCTGGGGTTGACTCGCTGACTGGGGTTGACTGGAGTGCCAGCAGGGCTCGGCGAAGGCTGCCTCTTCGCACCAGCCCCTCAGCTCGGGAGATTTTCCCGAGGTCGTCACGAACGTGGCGAGGGGGTGCGGGCAATGCGACAGCAGCAGCTGCTGACTGGTAGAGGGCGTCCCACTGGCCCGCGAGGAACTGCCGTAGACGAATCTCCATCGCTGGCCAGTCCGGGCGTTTGGGCGATGACATGCGAAGAGTTAGGCGGGGGAGAAATAGTAACAACCGCCAGCCCCCGATTGAGGTTGGATTTTTCGCGAGAAAAAGGAGGGGCGTCAGCAGGGCTAACGCGAACAGCTGGCGAATAGTGGGGGGTAGTCGCCTTGAAAGAGGGGGCTGGCGACTGTCGCACAACACCGCAATATCCCAGCTGGCTAATTGGGCAAATCGTGAGGCATCGCGGGCCAGTTCCTCTGGGGATAATTGCCTGGCTGCCTGGGAGGGATTGTCCAGCGTGTGTGCAGCTGGTGGGCTCCGCTGCTCGAAGCCCCTGGATCTGGGAGAGGGGTTTCGATTCGCGCTCCCCACCCGCCTCGGTGCCGTTCCCCCAGTGCGCCACTGGACTCGTCTGTGGTAGATTCCATGTGCGAATCCTGGATATAAGTACCATCTCGTCTTTCTTCCTCATCAGTTGCCTCCCGCAGTCCCATCTCCCTTAAAGCCCTATTCGCAGCTTGCTGGAAGCCATTCAGCGGGCCGCCGTCGCGTTCCAAGTCGCCTGTCCTTAGGCGCCCGCCCCCGCGCCCACCACTACCTCGGCCCCTGGTTCCGCTATCCCCGCCTCCGCCGCGTCCCCTCCGCGTGGCGCTGCCCCGTGCAGCGGGGCGTGGAGTAGGCGGACGTTCGCCACGCTGCCTCGCTGGGCCCGCTCTAGGGCGCATCGGCGAAACGGATGGCTGACCGGGCTGATCGTGCTCGGAGAGAGCGTTCCGTCGACCGCGAGAGTTCGGGGGAGAACGCCCTCCCCCGAGGTCGGTCGAGCTCCCCCCCCTGACGGACCGGCGGTGGGCACGCGGGCTCCCAGCGCCGTCCACAAGCGCGCCCGCGTCCCCCAGTCGGATGCGGGCGGCGACGCCGCCTCGGTTGGAGGGGCGGGCTGCGGTGGCGGGCGTAGAGGTCCGCCAGTGTCCTCCGGCTGAGTTGTCGACGCCCGCTGAATCCCATGCGGCGGGCCCTCGCCCCCCCCCGGTGTTGCCGTCTCGGCCCCATCCGCAACAGCCGCGTGCGCCAAACGGCCCCTCGGGCGTGGTGGCACGCGCCGGGGGCGGAGGGGGAGCGCACTGGAGAGACGGCTGGCGCGGACTGCCGCAACGTTGGAGGGGATACTCGAGCGGGCTGGCGCTGGGCTGCTCCCATCGCCCCGCAGCGGGAGCCGCCCCGACAGCTCCCCCATCAAACCCAGCCTCTATTTCCGCCGCGAGTCCTTCCACCGACCCTGCCCGACCAGCCTGCACGTGATGGAGCGTTTCCCCCTCCGCTGCGGCCTCCGGCGGCGCTGCTCCCAACTGCGCCGCCGCCTCCGTGGCAGCATGTGCCGCCTGGGGGCCCGTATGCTGCCCTGCACTCCGCTGCGCATCCGCCGCCTGTACCCGCGCCGGTCCTCCCACCCCCGGGGTACTACGACCTGCCCCACCGGTCCCTGCCAGCGCCCCCGATAGGCAGCCCCTCGTCATCCGCCGGTACACTCCCGGAGTGGCGTCCCCCCTCGTCCTGGGCTGGGGCGGTGGAGTGGTCCGATCCCCGGGTGGGGCTCTACCGCGGAGGGGTGTGGTTGGTCCGTTCGTTCCCCCTCGGCAGCGGGCGCCATCCCCACGGGGTGTAGAGGCGGGGGCAGAAGCAGCGGAGACGGGGGGCGCGGAGTCGCCAGGGGAGGGGTCTCCACGTCGAGCTCATGGGGCCGGGGAGGCGACACGGAGGAGGACGCCGACGGTGGGGCCACTGACGGCGGCTCCTGCGGAGATAACGGTCCCAGCCGCCACACTCCGTCGCCTTGGACACGCTCGGAGGGGGGCGGAGATACTGTTGACGATTCTGGCGGCGGCGAGCTCCGCGCTGGGGAGCTCAGGGGGCCAGTCAATGGCCCCGTACTTCCCCCTTCAGGGCTGCATGGAAGCAGCCATAGATCTCGCTGTGGAGGCTGCACGCGCGCGGCCCGGGCCCGCCCGGGGAACAGGCACGGACCCGCACCTTCTCGCCGCTCTCCGCCAGGTGTCGGCGAACATAGACTCGGCGTCAGCTGCAGGGCTTGTAGCTGGCGCCGTGTCCACGCTGCAGGTCCTGATGTCGTACCAGGCCGAGTTGCTGGAGGAGGCCGGGCTGGCGGCTGTCGCGGGTTAGCAGAGCGGCGGGAGTAGGTGCGGCCGGGCGGTGAGTCCTGCAGTCTGAGTGACCCCGCTCGGCGTATCAGGTGCTCCATGTGTGCTTGTGTAAGCCACAGCGGGGCCCTGTAGGCCGATGTTGTTTGCGCCCTTCTGGTCCTAGTCTAGAGTTGGAGGGGCTCCATCATGCATGCCGTGTACTTGCTGCGATATAGTTGCATGCTCCTCTCTCTCTCTCTCTCTCTCTCTCTCTCTCTCTCTCTCTCTCTCTCTCTCTCTCTCTCTCTCTCTCTCTCTCTCTCTCTCCCTCCCCCCCCCCCCCCAACTGTGTCAGGTGCTAGTGCGTGCAGAGCTGAAGGCCAGTCTGGGCTACCGCTTTGCCACGGGCCATCGACTATGGAGACGAGTATGCCCTCTCCCTTCCCCCCGCCCCCCCCCCCCCCCCCCCCACCACCTCGGACTCTCTCTTCTCCTGTCGGCACGCACATTGACTTCTCCTACCACTTCTCTTGTGCACCGCCGGCCTTCGCACTCCGGCCTCTACCCTTGTGTGCGGGTGGTATCCCCTCGCACCCTCACACAAGCAATACCCTTGCTTGTCACCCGCATGCCTTCCTTCCCCATGCTTTCCCGCCGCCCATTCTTCTATCACCTCTCGGTTCATGACTACTCATCTCATCTCCTGTTCGTCCCCCCTCTCCCCCTTGCCCCCTCTCCCCCTCGCCCCCTCTCCCCCTCGCCCCCTCTCCCCCTCGCCCCCTCGTCCCCTCTCCCCCTCGCGCCCTCTCCCTCTCGCCCCCACTCCCCCTCTCTTCCTCTCCCCCTCCCCATCTCCCCCTCTCCCCTCTCCCCATCTCCCCCACTCCCCCTCTCCCCCTCTCCCCCTCTCCCCATCTCCCCCTCTCCCCCTCTCCCCTCTCCCCTCTCCCCCTCTCCCCCTCTCCCCCTCTCCCCCTCGCCCCCTCGCACCCTCTCCCCCTCGCCCCTTTTCCCCCTCCCCCCCTCTGCCCCACTGCCCACTGCAGCTACAGTACCGCATGGTTCAAGCGGGCATCATCCGCATCTTCCAAGCCTATGTTGACAGCAGGGTATGCGATGCACATTCTCTCTCCGTCCATGTTGGCCTCTCTCCACATTCTCTCTGCTCTTTCTGTTCCTCATCTTTTTGCTGCTGTCCTTCTGCACCACTCTTGTGACGCCCTGAAACTCCTTCCTTCGACTCCCCTTCAACTCCCCTTCGACTCCCCTTTGACTCCCCTTCGACTCACCTCACTCCCCCCAACCCCACCACCCCCCACTTCCCCCCTCCACTTTCTGGTCGCTTCACAAAGTGCTCCCTGCTGGTGCTCTACCTTCTTCCTGTGTGCAGGTGCTGCCGTGTGTGCAGCTAGTGCGCACGTACAGTGAGGCTCAGCTAGTGTAGCTGCCTTGTCGATCGCCCCCGCTTCCTCGCCCCACCCCCTTTTTCTTCCTGTGTGCAGGGGCTGCCGTGCCGTGTATGCAGCTAGTAGTGCGCACGTATAGTACAGTGAGGCACAACCCCTCTCCTTCCTTCCTCTCCATGCCACCCTTCAGCTCTGATTCGACTTGGTGCTTATTTGCCCCATCCCCCGCACTCTCTGTGTCCCTGTGTGCAGATGCTGCCGTGTGTGCAGCTAGTGCGCACGTACAGTGAGTCTCAGCTCCGCTCCTTCCTCTCCCTGCCCTCTAACCAAGCGCCCTCAGCCCGTGGGAGGGGCGCTGGGGGCAGGGGAGGAGGGATGGGAGAGGAGGAGGAGGAGGATGAGGATGTGGGGGAGGGGGAGGATGATGATGATGATGATGATGATGATAACGATGATTGTGATGACGATGCTGCTGATGATGCTGATGGTGATGTTGATGGTGCAGCAGCACCAGCACCAGCAGCAGGGCGGGGGGCGATGGTACTAGCTGGCAGCAGTGACAGCGGTGGCAGGGGTGGCAGTGGTGGCAGTGGAACCTCTAGTTTCGTGGCGGCTCAAAACGCTGCTGCAGCTGGTGTCGAGCAGGGCGGGGATTTGGTGATGGAGCTGAGTGTGGAGCAGCAGGTGTTGGATGCGGTTCAGAGGCATGGGAGTGATGGCGTACTGCAGCCAGAGGTAAGGGAGAGAGATCAATTGAGAGGGGTAAACGTAGTAAGGGAGGGGCATATTACAGCTACGGTGGACCGTGGAGGCGTGGTGGTGGTGTTGGATCTCTGTTGTGGAGGTTCTAGAGGGACGCTGTAGGCTAAGGAAGGGATCCTCTCTTCATGTCATTCGTATGTTCTCCTCTCGTTTCTTATCAGCTTGGGGGCGCAAGTTGACAGATCTGCTGCTGAGTCATCCGAATCCTTCCCTTTGCCCCCTCCCTTCCCCGCCCCCTCCTCCCTCTCAGCTCACGAGTGCGAAGAGTCTATTTTTTAGGCGCGTCAAGAACAGGTAGCGCATGAGGGAGCGCCTGTTGTTGATTCACGAACATGTTTGACTTTGCCTCCATTCCTTTCCTTCGCTTCCCCCGCCTCTTCCCTCTCTGGTGCCCAGCTTGCGGGTGCGATGCCTGGTGGCCGAAGAAGCGGTTCTACCGCATCGTGACGGACCTGCAGTCAAGGGTGTCAAGAGTGTGCTTCTCTCTGAGTGACCTTCCCGTCGCCCGCTCTCTCTCCTCCCGCACCTCCCTACCACCAACCTTCCTACCTGTGTGCAGCTCGCGGGTGCGATGCCTGGCGTGCCGAAGAAGCGGTTCTACCGCATCGTGACAGACCTGCAGGAGCGCCGGCTGATCGCAGCGCAGGCCGAGAACCACCAGCGCATGACCGTCTACCGCCTGCGAGCCCTGCAACCCCCACCGCCGCCGCTGCTGCTGCTCGGAGCAGCGGCAGGAGCAGGGGGGGGAAGAGGAGGAGGGAGGGTAGGAGGATCCGGAGGAACAGGAGGAGGAAAAGGAGGGGAGGTGGTGCGTGGTGAGGAGGAGGGGCTAGAGGCAGGGGAAGGGGGGGATAGGTATGGGGAGAATGGTGAGGATGGGAATGGGCCACTGGCTATGGTGCCGATTCAAGAGGCGGGTATGGATAGTGGAGAACTTTTTGAGGATGCTGGGAATGGTGCGGTTGGTGGTGGTGATGGTGGTGGTGATGGTGATGGTGATGGTGATGGTGATGGTGATGGTGATGGTGATGGTGATGGTGATGGTGATGGTGATGGTGATGGGGGGATGAAGGATCTTGGGAGTGACGAGCACAAGGACTGGCAGGGAGGAGCGGACGAGGAGGGAGGCAAGGGCCGAGGTAGAGGAGGAAAGAGAGGGAGGCCGAGGGGGAGAGGAAGGGGAAGAGGGAAGGTGATCGAGGGAGTTGAGGAAAGGGAAGAGACCGGTAAGGGGGGAGGTAGAGGAAGAGGCAGGGGGAGAGGCAGGGGCAGGGGGACAGAAGCAGCTGGGCCTGAAGCAGTTGTGAATGAATCAGGTGGGCCAGAAGGAGGGGGGACAGAAGCAGCGGCAGAAGGGGAAGCTGGGCAGGGGAGAGGAAGAGGGAGAGGGAGAGGGAGGGGAAGAGGACGAGGAAGGGGGAGGGGGAGGGGCAGAGGAAGGGGCGTCAGAGCAGGAGATGAGGCAGAGGGAAGTGCGGATGGTATACCAGAAAACGATGGTACAGAGGCAACTGGGGGGAATCTTGGGAGGAGTTTGGTCCCTTTTGAGAGTCCTAGCAAGCCTAGGAGTGAAGGGGAAGGGCAGGAGATGCAGAGGGTTGTGTCAGGTCAAGTGCCCATTGCCGCACAAGCTCAGGTGCCAGGGCAAGACGATTCTGAGTCAGCGCAAGCAGCTCAAGCAGTAGGGGAAGAGGATGAGGGAGGGAGACGAGGACACAAGCGCAGGAAAACAGAGTCTGGGCCGGATGGTTCAGATGGGAGGGGAGATGGGAGGGGGGAGGCGAGAGGGGGAGGTGGGAGAGGAGTGAGGAGGACCCGAGGTGCTTCATTGCTGGCAACAGCAGCAGCAGTAGCTGCTGCTGCAACAGTTGAAGGGGCTGAGGCCGGTGAAGGGGTAGAGGCAGGTGTGGGATTGGGAGTGGGTGGAAGGGAAGATGGAGCATCAGGGTCCGCAGCAGAAGGGACAGCAGAAGATTCAGTCATAAGAAGAACAGGCTCGATGGGAATAGATGCGGACTTGGCCCCAGAATGCCATGCCAATGGGGTGAACCCACCTGCACACGCCATCCCCACCCCAAGCACCCACGCCCTTGTGCACCAGGTACCATACACACCACCTTCTCCAGAGGTCAACCTTCCCTCCAGCACCGCTGCCTCATCTCCCTACGATTTCTCTAGCCCGATTCGCTCTGCTTTCTCCCCTTCAGCTGTTGTCACCAATGCTGCTGCTGCTGCTGATGGTGGTGGTGGTGGTGGTGGTGGTGGTGATAGTGGTGGTGGTGGGGAAAGGGACTGGGAGCCTGCGATTGAGGTGTCGCAGGTATGGTCACTTCAACACCCACCATCGCCTCACCACCAATCGTCGCCTCACCACCTGTCGTCGCCTCACGGCCTGTCGTCGCCACAAGACCTGTCGTCGCCTCACCACCTGTCGTCGCCTCACGATCTATCGTCCCCTCACGACCTGTCATCACCTCAACAACCAGCTTCACCTCGAGAGCCGTCAGCACTTCGACCACCATCAGATCCCCTGGAAAGAAGAATTGGTGTGGAACTTGGTTCGGGTGTGTCCTCTGGAGACAAAGTGCTGTCTCCAGCACTTGGGTGTCCCCACCCTGAAGACCATCCTGCTATCTCTCCCTTCGCCTCCCAACACACTCGCCCATCCCATTGCCCTCCTCTTCTTCCATCTCCTACCCAGCCTGCTCCCCTTTCTCCTCATCCCCCTCTCCCTCCTGTGTGCGGAGCTCAAGGATCGTCCCTGCCCATTGTCTCGAGGGTTTACTCACGGCGCCGGCAGGTCGCGCGTGTGAGGGATGGTGCAGAGCCGAATGGTGGTGCGCAAAAGGACAGCACTGCGCAATGCACTGCGCAACGTAATGAGAGTCACGGGGGCGGAGCTGACAATAAGGAGGATAAGGGCGGGGAGGGACAGAAGGAGCTACAGGGGAACGAGCAGGAAGAGCGTGAGAGGGACGGGGAGCAGGAGGTAGATAGGGATAGGGAGGAGCAGCAGAAGCAGCAAGAGGAGGAGAAGGAGGAGGAGGAGGAAGAGGAGGAGCAGAAAGTGGGAGGGAAGAAGCAGAAGCGGTTGACTCAGCGGCAGCAGAAGCAGCTGTGGCAGCAGCAGCAGCAGCAGCAGCAAGGCGGGGATGGGAGGCCTCTGTCTCGTCGGTCGCGGTTCCCCAGGGACGAAGCACTGTGGAAGAGACGAGAGGACACCATCTCGGCTTTCCTCGAGGTATCCCCTCCCTCTTCAGGTGACGGGCAGTGCCGTGCTACAGCTGCAGCAACAGCAACAGCAACAGCTACAACAACAGCAACAGCTACAGCTACAGCTACAGCTACAGCAACAGCAACAGGATTAGCAGCAGCAACAGCAACAGCAAACTCTTGGCTTGTTGCTTCTGGTTCCCCGTACGCGCCATTAATCCATTTGCCTTCGTCCCGAGTGGCTTATCTGTTTGGCTCTCTAATCTACCTTACCTCCCCTTCTTTTTCTTTTTTTTTTTAACGGAAAGTAGCCCACTGCCCTGCCGGCTTTCCCTAACCCCCTCCCAACCCCCCAACCCCCCTCCTGCTTTCCTCTGTTGTGTCCCTTTCCTCCCTCCAGGCCAACCACATAGTGACCCGGTGGGAGCTGTAATGCCATGTGCTGGCCTCTGAGCTCGCCACCTGCACATCCACCATGGACTGCAAGACCCTCCACCGTATCCTTGCACGCATGCCCTGCTCAAGCACATGGTGCTCTACGTGCTGGGATGGTCTCCAACTCACGTTCTTTCCCTCGCTTGTCCCCCCTCCCTTCGCGTCCTCCTCCCTGCCTCTTCCCTGCCTCCTCCTGGGCCCCCCTCCAGGCCAACCAGATAGTCACTCGGTGGGAGCTGTACCGCCACGTGCTGGCGTCGGAACTGACCACTCGCGCGTCCACCATGGACCGAAAGACCCTCAACCGCATCCTCGACGCCATGCGCGCGCGTGGCCTGCTCAAGCGCATGGTGCTCTCCGTGCCGGGGGTCTCCAACGGCGGGCAGCCGCGCACCCTCGAGATTGTCTTGGCTAAGGATGCGGACCCGAACCCGGAGGCCCTGGGCGCGGTGATTGCAAATCATAGGAGACAGGAGCTGGAGAACGCAAGGGGTGGGGCGGATGTGCTGTGGGGGAGGAAGGTGGGGGGGAGGAAGGGGGGGAGACGAGGAGGGGGAGGGGGGGAAGGGGGAGGAAGGGGAGGAGGAGGAGCAGGAGGAGGAGGAGAAGCAGCAGCAATAGGGGGAGGAGGAAGAGGAGGAGAGGAAGCAGGGGAAGAGGAGGCTAGAATGCGGACAGGAGAGGATGTCAAGATTGTTGCTTCTGGCGATGGTGCTGCTGCTGGCGATAATGTTTTTGGCAATAATGTTGCTGGCAATAATGTTGCGGGCAATAATGTTGCTGGTGGTGATTGTTTTGGCAGTGGTGGAAGAGTGGGGACACGAGTCAACAGGTACAAGGTGCGAGTGTCTCAGGAGAGGCAGGCCGAGAGAGGTGGAGGAAGTGGAGAAAGTGGAGGAAGTGGAGGAAGAGCAGACGAGGCGGAGGGGCAAGTGGTGATACCCGTCCTGAGTAACATTGAGAGGAGGCCTGTGGGAAGGCAGTTGGATGCGGTTAGGAGGAGGGAGCAACGGCTGGGGGTTGCTGCTGCTGTGCTGGTGAGAGAGAGGGTGGGGGGTGGGGAGGGGGATGGGGATGGGGAGGCAAAGGTGAATATGGGAGAGGGGAGTATGGGGAAGAGTGGTAGGGTAGAGGATGGGGGCAGTTGGGGTGGAGTAGGAGTAGGAGGAGTAGTAGGAGCGAGAGCAGGAGGAGGAGTGTTAGGTGTGAAAGAGGAGAGGGTTTTAGGAAGCCGGAATGAGATGGGAGGAGTGGAGGAGTGGTTGGTTCCTGGTGCTGCGGGGGGTGCAGCGAAGGGAGTCAGGAGGGCAAGAGATGTGGTAGCAGGAGGAGGAGGAGGAGGAGGAGGAGGGGGAGCAGCAGCAGCAGTGGGAGCAACAATGGCAGCAGCTGTGCAAAGTGCAGCAGGAGAGAGAGACATTGCAGATTTTGCTACACAGGAAGTCAGAGAGGCGGCTGGTCGGGGCGCAGGGCATGCAAAGAAGAAAGGTAGGATGGTACAAGGATTGCAGGGAAGAAGGCTCGGACAGGGCACCGCGCGTGATGGGCAAGAGAGAGCCGGGCAGGGTAAGTGGCAAGGGAAGGAGGATCAGCAACGGCAGCGGGCGCAGCTGGGTACAGCCATGCGAGTGCTGCGGTATCAGATTAGTGGTGATGATGATGGTGCAGCGGCTGGTAATGGTGATGGTAGTGATGGGGATGAGATTATAGCTGGAGGGGCAGCGGCTGGTGAGAGAAACACCCCCCTGGAACGACCTCTTGCGGGGAGGATGGCAGTGGTAGGCCAAGGGAGTGGGGCGAGGGCAGGAGTGGCTGCAGGCGAAGGGAGTAGAAGGAGGGCGGGAGCTGGAGCAGGTGCAGATGGTGGTGCGGAGGGAGGAGGGGAGGAGGACGGTGAGGCGGAGCTGTTCAGTGTGCGGCGGCGGTACGGGTACGTGCCAGCCAAGATGGTGCGCGCGCGGCAGCTGCACCTCTTCCTCTGGTCGCATGTCAAGACGAGGGGCACCAACACATTTGTGCCCAACGCAGGTGAGTGTGTGGAGAGAAGGGAGGAGGCTGGGGGGGCGGGATGCATATGTGCCGGTGGCAGCTGCTCCTTTTCCTCTGGTCGCACGTCAAGACGAGGAATGCCAACACGTTTGCGCCCAACGCAGGTGAGTGTATCGAGGGAGGGGAGGGGAGAAGGATGGGGAGGAGGATGGGGAGTCGGGACGGAGGAGGTGCCTGGTAGTGAATTGCTGCATTAGTCCTTCCTCTGGCCGAATGTCCAGCAGACTAGAAGCGCACCAACACCTTGTGCCCCATGCAGGTGAGGAATGGAGGAGCTTTTTCATGGGCGGTGTTGTTGGTTCGTCCGTCATGCACCTGGTCACAGGGCCCCCCCTCTGGCCTGTTATTCAAACGTGTTCTTCCCCACTCTGCCAGTCGTGTTGGTTTGGCAAGGCAAGCTCCATGATGCTTTGAATGCCGTCGTCATGTTCTCCTCAGTTGTGCGTGCCTCTGTGTGTTTGCCTCTGTATAATTGTATCTGTATGCCATGCTGCTCTGTGTCGGTGCAGATCCCGACAGCACCCAGGGCTGCAAGTTCGACCTGGCAGCGTTGGTGCAGGCCATGCCTCTGGAGCTCTTTCTGCAGGTACTTGGGCCAGTCACTTGTCTTAGCTTTTCTTGAGGCACTTCAATTATAGGCTGCGCTTGTTCAAGCCGTGCCTCTGGACCTCGTCCTGCAGGTACTTGGGCCAGTTGTCTTAGCCCTTCTTATAAAGCCTCAAAAATAGCCTCAATTATAGACTGCGCTAGTTTCAAGCCGTGCCCCTGGAGCTCGTTCTGCAGGTACTTGGGACAGTCACTTGTCTTCGCTTTTCCGACTTGCGATAGGTCAGTTGTGATTCTTGAGTTGACTCAAATGTTGGCTTGTGAACAGCCTGCAAAGCTGTTCTTGAGACTGCTTTTGGGACCGCCTTAAATCCACCTCTCCCTCCCTTCCTCCCTCCTCCCTCCGTCCTCCGTGCTCCGTCCCCTCTCAGGCAGTGGCGCCAGTGAGGACATCCCCACTCTCACGCCCCTGGCCTTGCAGGACTGCTTCTGAAACGTCTTAACACCACCCATTCCCTCCCCCCCCCCCCCCCCCCCCCCCCCCTTCTCTCTCCCTCCTCAGACAGTGGGTGCCAGTGAGGACATCCCCTCTCTCACGCCGCTCGCCCGCCCAAGCTAGCTTTGTTCTGAGTCAGCTCAAGAGTCAACCACCCTTGTCCTCCAAAACCACCTCTCTCCCTTCTCTCCCTCCGCAGACAGTAGGCGCCAGTGAGGACATCCCCTCTCTCACGCTCCTGGCCTGCAATGCAATCTGAGTTCTGAGTCAACACGAGAGATTCACCCTCCAATTCCACTTCTCCCCCTTTTCCCCCCGGCCCTCAGATAGTGGGTGCCAGTGAGAACATGCCTCTCTCTCACGCCCCTGGCCTTGCAGGACTGTTTCTGAAACGTCTCAATCCCCCCCTCTCCCCCCCTCCCCCCCCACCCCCCCGTGTCCGCCCTCCCCAGATAGTGGGCACCAGTGAGGACATCCCCTCTCACGTCCCCCGCCCTGCAGAATTGTTTTCTGAAACGTCTTGATACCCCCTCCCCCCCCTCCTCCTCCTCTCCTCCCCCTCCTCCTCCTCTCCTCCCCCTCCTCCTCCTCTCCCCCCCCCCCCATTTCCTCCCTCCTCAGATAGTGGGCGCCAGTGAGGACATCCCCTCTCTCACGCCCCTGGCCCTGCAAGGCAAGGTGCTCCGGGACCTCCCCCCCTCCCTCCTGCACACTCTCTTTGACACCGCGTCTCGCAACCGCCTCTCGCGTCTCTTCAACCTGCTGCAACGCCTGCAGGTGCGTAAGGGGGTGGAGGGGAGGGTAGATAACGGATGGGGAAGGGGGTACTCAGAGTTGTGCTCAGAGGTCACAGATACTCTTTGATACCCCGGCTCGCAACCGCCTCTCGCGCCTCTTTAGCCTGCTGCAGGGCCTGCAGGTGCGTAAGGGGGTGGAGGGGAGGGTAGATAGGGGATGGAAGAGGTATATAGTGTTGTGTGCAGAGGCCCCAGTTACTCTTCGATGCATCGGCTCGCAACCACCTCTCGCGCCTCTTCAACCTGCTGCAACGCCTGCAGGTGCGTAATGGGGCGGAGGGGAGGGTACAAATGGGATGAGGAAGGGGGTACTTAGAGTTGTGCAGAGGCCCCAGTTACGCTTTGATGCAGAGTCAGCACCTCGGCTCGCAACCGCCTCCCACGCATCTTCAACCTGCTGCATCGACTGTGGGTGAGCGAGGGGATGGAGGAAAGCGTATATAGGGGATGGGGGGGGGAGGGTAGAGGGTGTGCGTAATGTAGCAGTTGCTGGCCACCGCGGCTCTCAACCGCCTCCCGTGCCTCTTCAACCGCTGCAGCGACTGCGGGTGAGCAAAAGAGTTGGAATGGGTAGGTATCACATTCGGAGACATGGCAGCTATGGGTAAGCTAGAATGAGTGGGGTGAGAGGCACCAGTCAAGTCAGCGAATGCTGTGGTTACGTTTGAGGCACCTCGTTTGATAGACATCCGACAGCCTGGGCAATGAATGCTGGGGCTACGGACGTTTTGTGGGTACGATGTAGAGCAGTATGGGTTATGGTGTCTGTAACCAAACCCAAGTGACAAAAGGTGGAGTCGTAGGGCTTGAACTCTGATCTTCCATAAAGTCAAGGTTAGGTTCAACCCATTGGGGCACTTGCTAGGATAGTGCAAAATGGAAAATCATACTCATATGGTGCAATTTCTATGTGTGCTCCTGTTCGGGGGGGGGTGTGCTCCATATGTGTCCATGTTTGTGCCTTACGGTTTGTGTGTGCGTGTGCACCCAATTTCAGCTGGTATGTCTCCATGTGTCTGCACAAGACCTCGGCCCTTCCATCTCCACTGAACCTTCATCGAAGCAGCAGCAGCAGCAGCAGCAGCAGCAGCAGCAGGGTGAAGAGCAGCAGCAGCAGCAGCAGCAGCAGGGTGAAGATCAGAGCTACCTGGAGCCATCATTCCGTGTGTTCTACGTCCTCATACGCCGCATCCGACTCCAACACCCACACTCCATCCAACTCCCCCTCCTCTCCAACTCAACCCTCTCTCCCTCCCCCTCCACCTCCACCTCATTCCCCACTCCCTCTGCCTCAAACCCCTCCTCCCATTTCCCACCCTCTAACTCCTCCTTCCCGACTTCCTCACAGCCTCTTTCACAATCCTCTCACTCTCCAGGCACCCTCCAGCAGGGGGTGATAGAAAGGAGGGTGGGAGTGGACGCAGTGACTCTAGAGCTCGACGCTGCAGAGGAGGAAGGGCTGGCTATCTACTGGTCCTCCCTTCAAACCGTTTTCTCCAAGCTGGCACCCTCAATCGCGCGTCGATTCTTCCCTGCTACCACTGTTCCCGACGTGCTGAACTCACGGGTGTGGGCGGCGCAAGCTCTCCTGCCCCTCCGGGTGCATATCCAGCTCATGCGTCGCTTACAGGCAGCTTCGTTACAGGATAGGGAGATCACGGTTCGTGCGACTGCTGCGGAGATTGCTCAGGAAATGGGGATCACCACAGAGCAGGTGCTGTATTCTCTGTACATGCGGCAAGGGCATTTGAGGATGCACTCGCTGAGCCTGCCGCACTTGGGGCTGTTACCAGGCGTGCAGTGGAACGATCTTAGTAAGAGGAGGAGGCAGAAGGAGAGGCGGAGCGGCGAGAGGGGGGGGGTGGCGGAGAGGAGGAGTGGGAAGAGGAGGACGAGGAAGAGGAGGAGGGGAGAGGGGAGAGTGAGGAAGAGGAGGAGTGTGAAGAGAGAGGTGGGAGAGTGAGGGGGAGGAATCTGCGGGTGGCGGATGTGCTTGGGAAGAGTAGAGTAGCGGCACTGCAAGCGAAGCCAGAGTGGAGGAAGTATGGGTGGGAGGAGGGGGGTGAGGGCGTGGAGCGGATGAGATTGAGATCGGAGGAACAGGGGAGTGGGGAAGGGGCTGTGAGAAAAAGACGGAAAACTGGTGGGGATGAGTGGGAAGAGGGTGGGAATGATGGTGAGTGGGAAATGGAAAAGGAGGAGGGGGGTGCACTGGAGGGATCGGAGGACGACATGTGTGAGGAGATGGAGGCCGAGGGTGAGGAGGAAGGAGGGCGAGGAGGGAAAGGGGATGGGGATGGGGAGGAAGGGGAGGAGGTAGAGGAGGTTCGGGGGGTGTCGAGAGTGCATGACAGCACTGCCATTCGGCTTCGAAGGGTCACTTGGACTCACTTCTCGACTCGGTGAGTGCACTGTGCTGTGCCGCGCTGTGCTGTGCTGAGAACGCGATGAGATGTGGTGTGGTGAGAATGCAGTGCGATGCAGTGTGGTGTAGTGTGGTGTAGTGTGGTGTAGTTGGGAGTCTTGAAGTGCGTTGGTGTGAATGTGGTGCGGTGGTGGGTGGTGAGGATGCGATCTGCGGGTGATTTTTTATTTGACTCAAAAATCACCTGAAGATGCGCTCTGCGTGGTGTGGTTGGGAGGCCCGGAGGGTCAGTAGGACTCCCTCAGCCAGTCGGGTACTGTGCTGTCACGTGCTTCAGTGTTTTGGTTTCTGCTGTGGTGTGATGCTGTTTGGTGGTGCGGTTTGGTGACGTATTCTGTGGTATGCTGTGTCTTGGTTTGGTCTGCTGTAGTGTGTTGTTCCATGTTGTTGACAGAAGAACAGAAATGAAGGGATGGTTCTTGGACAAGCGATATTGTTATCCTCTTGGCGTCATGGCAACATTCTCTTTCCGTCTCCTCCCTTGTCGTCTCTCCTTACCCCCCCCCACCCCCCCCCCCCCCACAAAGCACCCTCATCGAGGAATACGCACAGGTGCGCGCTCACCACCCGCGCATCCAGTTGCACATGCATGCGCACCGCCTATTGAAACTGCTTCTCCTCCTTCTCCCGACTTGACGATCCTTCTCTCCCTCTTCTCTCCTCCCCCCTCCCAGTACTCTTATCGAGGAATACGCGCGGGTGCGAGCGCGCCACCCGCGCATGCAATGGCACATGCACGCGCACCGCCTGCCCTTCCCGCCCTCCGCATGCCGCCGCCACGTGGCCACGCTGCGCACCGATGCGCGCACCCGGCACGCTCTGCAGGACTTGTGTGCGCTGGTGGCTTTGCGATTGTCCCGCTGGGCCCGGCACCAGCAGGCCCTGGCTCTGCAGCAGCAGCAGGCGCAGTGGGAGCAGCAGCAGGAGCAGCAGCGGAAGGAATGGGAGCAGCAGCAGCAGGAGGAGGAGGAGAGGAAAAAGAAGCAGGAGGAGGAGCGGAAGCAGAAGCAGCAGCAGCAGGAGCAAGGGCAGGGGGCCATGGACGAGAGGCTGGTGCATGGAGAGAAAGGAGCGGCGGGTGCGCCAGCTGCAGCGGCCGCGGCGGCACCTGGACAACTCCCTCCTTCAGCGCTATCCATTCCGCCATTTCCTGCCACTCAAACCCGGCAGCGCGAGGCGGTGTGGGACAGCAGGTGGGAGTGGGATGACTTTTCGTGCCCTGAAGTGGCACGGGCTGTGGATCGCGTGCTCGTCGCTCATTACTCCCTGCGGCCCTGGCTGCTGGAGCAGCAGGAGAAGCAGCACCAGCTGCAAGGGCGTGTGTTTGCTGCTCCTGTTCTGGCAGGGAGAGAGGAGAGGAGAGTGGAGGAGAGGCGAGCTGGTCTTACTGGTGGTGCTGCTGGTGGCGCTGCTGATGCAATTGCTGCAGGGGGGAGCGGATCGTCTACAGCATTAGAAGAATCCGCAGCAGGAGCACCAGGAGCAGCATTAGCTGCTCGTTCACTTTCTCTCTCGGCCACAGCAACCGATACTGCTATCACCACCACCACAGTACCACACACGTCCCCTGCAATCAATGCAGCCAGAGCAGCGGACCGCAGCCTAACCATCATCAGCCGGAAGGCCCTCAAGGCGCAGAAGCTCCTCTGTGAAATGCAGCGCCGCCCCTTTGCCGCTCCCGCGTGCGAGCTAATCAAGTCCATCCTCAGCGGAACGACGGTCGACGGGTCCCTCCCGCCTCTCCTCGTGCACGCGCTGAGAAGGTTCCCGGAAGGCGACGTGGTGGTGGCGTTTGAGCATCTGAGAATGAACGATCTGGTGGTTCCGGGTAAGGGCTCCCGCTCTTTCTTTCTCAACCCGGACCACGTGGAAGCGGCATCTATATCCCCATTTCCCCCACATGCTGCGGCAGATAGTGCGGAATTTTCCCAGTGGGTGGTTGAGAGGAGGGAGCTTTTGGAAGGGTCTTGGGAGCAGGTGCCTCTCACGCTGCGGTGCGGGCACCTAGTAGAGCTGCTAACTTTGGTATCCAAGGGGAAGCTGGAGCTGAAAGGGGTTCTTCCGAAGAAGGGGGTGGGGGAGAGGGAGGATGACGCTGAGGAGGAGAGGAGGAGGCAGAGGAGGAGGCAGTATGAGAAACTGAGGAGGGAGGGGCGGGAGGAGGAGGGGGGTGGGGGGGTAGGTGGTGTAGGGGAAGGAGGGGTAGATGGGGGAGGAGGGAAGGGGAGAGGGGAGGGAGACGAGGAGAGGATCGAGGAGGAAGAGGAAGAGGAAGAGGAGGAGGAGGAGGAAGATGAGGAGGATGGGGAGGAGGAGGAGAGGGAGAATCCATCGGTTCAGACGCCGTATGGAATAAGGCAGCTTGTGAGGGGGTTTCCTTACCTGAATGTGCTTGTAAGGAGTGTGGAGGTGCCTGTATCGGAGCTGGTATCATCCCTCTGGGATGATGCAATTAAGGGAGCTGTGGAGCATGTGGGGCATGCGGGGGATGCGGGGCATGTGTTGCTTGTGGGGGATGGGGTGAATTCGGAGCCTGGGTTCGGGGTGATGGAAGGGGGAGAGAGGATTGGAGGGAGTGAGGGAGGAGAAGCAGCATTCGAACAGAGAAGTGCCGAGAAACAAGATGCGCGGAAAGAACAAGAGGCAGAGCCTGCTTCTGAGGCGTCTCAGAGGCTTGCTGTGGGGAAAGAACTTGTGGCAGATGGAAGGGGGGGAGCGGAGGAGGAGGGAGGGGAAGGAGAGGTTGGGGGGAGTAGAGTCAGAGGGTCGTTTGAGGGAGGTGTGAGAGCAGAAGCAGGAGGAACCGGCGGGGAAGGACAGGCTGGAGAAGAAGCAGAGGGAGAGGCAAGGAGAGACGCAAGAGAAGTAGCTGGAGGAGAAGCAGGGGAGGCAGGAGAAGCAGGGGAGGCAGGAGAAGCAGGAGAGGCGGAAGAGGCGGAAGAGGCGGAAGAGGCGGAAGAGGCGGAAGAGGCGGAAGAGGCGGAAGAGGCGGAAGAGGCGGGAGCGACAGGAGAGGCAGGGATGGATGCGGACGAGGCAGAGGGCGCTGCACATGCCATTGTTCCTGACGGCATGAACAGTAGCTTGGGTGGCAGCTGGTTGTGGCATCACTCGTCTGATCTGCTAGCAATGGTGCAGCAGCGGATAGAAGCCAAGGGCCACAGGGGATGCTCCCTAGACGCCCTCAAGCGCGCTCTTGTTCCTGGTGGGGGCGAGAGCTCTGCTTTTGCTGGTGCGGTGGAGGGGGTGAGGGAGGAGGAGGTGGAGAGCTGCGTGGCAGAGCTGCTGGCGTTGGGGGCGGTCAAACAGGTGCGTCGATGATGCCAAGTGCTTGCCTTTGCTTCCTCTGCTGTCGGGCTGCTGTTTTTTCTGCTGCCGGGCTGCTGTTTTCTCTGCTGCCGGGCTGCTGTTTTCTCTCCTGTCGGGCTGCTGTTTTCTCTGCTTTAGAATTGCAGTGAATTTCGCACATATATTTCCTTCTGATGCATGCTTGGTCTGAAGTTCGCTCAGAGAGGGCTCTGAAAAATCATGCAGAGATGCACTGACACATGTGCCTTTCCATCATTCCACACCTTCTCACACCTTCTCACGCCTTCCCCTCCAGCCTTCCCCCATTCACCTTCCCCTTCCTCCCTGTCTCCACGCCTCCCTTCCCCTAACGTCTTTTCCCCTTCCCTCCTCCAACTGTGACTTCCCAGGTTCCGCTGTTCGACTCGTCTGTTCTCATGGCATCGCGCCATGCATCCCTCTTCTTCCTCCGCAAGCAAGAAGCCTCTGCCAGCCCTGCTGCCGGTGCCTCCGCTCTCGCTGCCAGCCCTGCTGCTGGTGCCATCTGCACTCGCGTTGACTCCACTTGCACCAGTGGTGCGTTAGGGAATAAGTCTGGGGACAAAGGGAAGCAGCTGAACTCGGAATGGGAACAGGAGAGAGGAGTGCCAGGCGCAATGCTAGAGGGCAACGAGGGGGAGAAGGGAGAGGCGGAGGCAGAGAAGGGGGGGAAGGAACAGGGAGAGAGGCAGAGGGGAAAGGAGGGGGGGGAGCAGGGCGGGGAGGAGGGCGAGAGGGAGCAGGTGGAGGTGGAGGTGGCGATACGACCGTGGTTGGATGGGGCGGGGCGGGAGAAGGCGTCGCTGCGCTGCGTGTTTGTGCGCAAGATCATGGCTGCGGTGGCCTTCCATCCCGGCATAGAGGAGGTCGGTGTTGGTGGGTGTGGGTGGGTATGGGTAGGTGTGGTTTGCTGTGGGGTGTGGTTTGGTGTGGGTTGGTATGGGTTGTTGTGGGTCAGTGTGGTTCGGAGTGGGTCAGTGTGGTTCGGTGTGGGTCGGTGTGTTTCGGCGTGGGCCGTGATGGTTTCCTTTCATGGTCGGCAACACAGACTTCTTTACGTGTCTCAATTATGATTCCCTGGAGGCACATACTAGAAGGAGTTCAGGGGTCAATGCGGCTCCCATGTTGCGCCATGTTGAGGATATGAGTGGCCCATGTGAAGGCCAGTACCAGTCACAAGGATATCTACTGTACACCCGTTGACTTTTCCTTCCGTGTCCTCTCTTTTCAACGCCCCCACATTACAGAGCATGCTGCTGCGTCTGGTTCCCCTTCTCAATCCCCAGGTAAGGCCACATCTTAAACTAATGCTGGTTTTTGTACCTCTCCTTTTCCTTACGGTTTTTTAACTACTTTTCCGTTTTCACACCCGCTACACTCTTCTTCCCTTCATTTCCACTGTATTTTCAGACTTGCAAAGACCTGCTTGCTTGGCTCATTGCTGACGGTGCTCTTCGGTTACATACTGTAACCACAGCTCGACCAAAGACTGTCGGGCCAAGGTTGTTTCGAAGGTCACCTAAAAGAAGGAAGTCAAGCCAAGAGGTAGGAGGTAGTGTGCGTGACAAGCAGCATGATAGCTCAGATTCTATCATAGATGTAAGCAAGCACTACTTTGTCAACCCTTCTTGCATGCGCCTATTCTGAATGTGTGTGTGCATGTGTGCTCTTGTAGTTTCTCGATACGGTAGATCCATGTGGTGCGATTGCTCTTAGCATGAGTGGCCTACTGTTTAAGTCCGGTTTTGCGTCACTAGTTTGACACGCCTCCGGAATCGAGGCTGCTTTGAAAGGAGAGAATTGTGAAAATAGTGGCATGCTGCAGCAGCGGTGTAGAAGACCACTTGCAGAAGAGATAGTGGCATGCAGCAACATTTGCCTATGCAACATCCCCCTTGTAGAAGAAAGACGAATTGTGTTGGGGAGTACCAAAAAGAACCGGGACAGTGGATAGACGAGACACTTGACGCGGTACAAGTTGTGTAGGATGAAGTTCGATAGCCCTCAGGATCGCCGTTTCACTGGGGTTGGAAGCGTTTTGTGAATTGTGGAAGAGTTTAGCGCGGTTTCAGTGCGGTGGTAGGTCGATCTTGGGTCCTCGAACCTAGAGATTTCCAACTTATACCGCGTCCTGAGTAGTGGGACATTTGCAGCACGGTTCTCGTCCTTGCGTGCCGTGAGTTTCAACAAAGAGTGCCTTTTACATGTGTCGCAATTTCATTCGCTACTAATGATCTCCACGTGGTAGAGTGGTTTCTAGGTGGCACGGTTAGAGATTGGCCGACGCTCGCTGCCGCACCGCCGATATAGATTTGCCTAGCCGCACTATGAGGTCAGGAGTAGGTTCGGCTGGCGTCCTTTCGTTCGTGCATCAGCGCCAGGCAGCCTCGGGATTTTCGCCGCCATGACAGAGTACTCCTCGCCAGGGCTCAGGTTGAAAGGTAATTACCCGAAATAAAAAACACTAAGAGTTACTTTGGGCTGGATTCCGGAGTTTGAACGGGTAATGTTTCCCTGGAACCCGGAATTTTTACAAGTGGACAGGGGGCATTCTCCGGACGAATCAGAATTGCCCTGGGGAGCATTCCGGACGACCCCGCCAGAGGGAAAGCCCCCCCCCCCTTGGGGGCAAAAAATCCAAGTCCGTAATAGACACCCCCTTTAACACCGACTAGGAAAATTTTTACTTAGTCCCTCTTAGCCAGAGACATCACTCACACATCCCTTGCAACCTCGAAATTTTGGCTAAGGGCAAAGTTAGACCGCGTGTCAGGTAGCTGGTACAGGTATGCTGAGCTGACCCGGGGTACATGTCGACCTAACAGCCACTGCGCGACCCTTGACGCAAGGAGCACTGGATGTGTCACCAGGTTGCACTAGCAAGGTCGCGTGCGATACAAGCGACTGCCACTATGAATGCTTACTGGCTCGGCTTGTTTCGCGACAGTTGGACTGTGAATACATGCGACGCTGAAATTGACGTGTAGATGCGATGTTTACTGGTTTCTAAGAGCGGGAAATGTCGTCGCGCGTTTCGAACTACCCTGACACTAGGGCAGTATGTGCTTCTAGGTGTCAGGTAGGGTTGTACTAACCGCCTGACACGCGGTCTAACTTTGCCCTAAGTCCCAAACAGCCCTAGACATTTGACAGCTTGCAAAATTTCGGCTAAGTCCCTCACAGCCAGAGACATTCGACCCACACCCCTCGCTACCCAGAAAATTAGTCTAAGTTTCTCACAGCCCGAGACATCTCTCCCGCATCCATCTGACTCCTTCCCTAAACATTTCTCGAAGTCCACACCAAAACAACACTTGTGAGAACAGGGTTCGGGAAAATTCTCACAACAGAGTTGGCAGATAAGGTACTCTGCCAAACATGGGTTGGCCTCGACATTACCTTGTTTTTACCCGATGCGGTAAGAGCCTTCCGAGCTTGTAGAATGATTCGTAGAAAGTGTCTGGCTCAGTGATACAAAGTCATTGACGGCTAAGGTACGTACACGTCAGCACATTTACTGACGCCTGCTTATCTAGGCTATCGAATCTCTGACCCGAAGTGATGTGACACTTGCGAGGAAACCTTGGGCAAGCTATCCGAGTAGACCCTACGTAACTCGGCCCAAAGTAACATTTCACCCAAATCCGGATGGAACAGAAATCAAGAACCCCCGAATACGGACGAAACAGACCACGGTGGGGGTGTCACAGGATCGAATGTGTCGAGGAAAGGTTGCACTATCGATCAGTACAAGGCGCTTTTATACTTCCAGAGTACATCAGGTAACCAGGTTTATCTTATCCTAAGGGAATAGACCCTTCTAGAAGATAGAATCACCCTGCGTATAGCCACGCGAGGCTATTGGCTTTAAGGGATTACAGCAGGATTACGCTGGATAACGTCTCTAGTACATTCCATGCCTGGTCGGTGATATAATTATAATAAAGGAAGAGACCAAAGGATAATGGAAAAGGAAGAATAGGAAACCAAATGAGATGCGGTAAAAAGAGAAATGAAAAGGGAAGGAAATAAGAAAAGGCCAAGTGGTGTAACGGGGTCGTACTCTCACACTTCCCCCCCTCAAAGCTGGGTGGTAGAAGTAACACCCTGCTTGACAAGGTAGTCATGCAGAGGACGACGGGCGTTACCCATGTCGGACGCAGAGACCCAGCTGTCCTCAGAAGGATCATAGCCCTTCCAACGAATAAGAAGCTCCACGGTGCCATTCCGACGACGGCGGTGTGCAAGCACGGACTCGACCTCGTACTCGGGTTCATTTTGGACGAGGACGGGTGGCGGCGGCGGCGGTTGGCGTCCGACGAAAATTGTGTTCGGGTCCCGATAGGGCTTCAGAAGTTGGACGTGGAAGGCGGTGTGAATCTTCCAGGTAGCTGGCAGGCGTAAGCGGAAGGTAACAGGAGTGACCTGTGCTTCAACGAGAAAAGGCCCGCAGAAGCGAGGTCGCAGTTTAGATGGGAGATGGCTGATGTCCAGGTTGCGGGTGTCAAGGAGAACCTGGTCTCCCACGGAAATGGTGTGGTCGTTGCGATGGCGATCGGCCTGGCGCTTCTGTTGCTGTTGAATGTCAAGGAGGCGCTTATGGGTCCGATCCCAAAGTTGATGCATGGTTGTAATGAAATCATGTGCGGGTTGGACTGTAGGTGATGCTGTCGGTTTTTGTGGTGTGAGTGGGTGGCGTCCGTAGCAGAGGAAGAACGGCGTCTGTCCCGTAGCGGCATGTGTGGCATTGTTGTAAGCAAACTCGAGTACGGGCAGGTGCAAGTCCCATTTGGAGATGTCGTCCTTGCAGGCTGCTCGGAGGAGTTGCTCAACAATTTGGTTGAGGCGCTCGGTCTGTCCGTCTGTCTACGGATGGTATGCGGATGACATGGCGAGTTTGGTGCCGAGCAGAGACATAAGTTCCTTCCAGAACTTGCTAGTGAACTTGGGGTCTCGGTCGGAGATGAGTGTAGTTGGGATGCCATGCTGTGAGATGATGTGACGAACGAAGAGCTGTGCTGTCTCCTCGGTGCGTGCCGTCGTGTGTGTCGGGATGAAGTGTCCCATTTTGGAGAACTTGTCAATGACGACAAGGATGGCGTCATGACCGCTGGAGGTAGGTGGTAACCCGGTGATGAAGTCTAGGCTAACCACTTGCCATGGTTGTTCTGGGACAGGAAGAGGCTGCAGTAGTCCCGCCTTTTTCTGCTTGCTGCTCTTCATCCGCTGACATGTATCACACGAGGTGACGAATTTCTGGACGTCGTCTGCCATATGGGGCCAGTAGTAGTGTTTGGCGATACCGGTGAGCGTCTTGTTGCTACCGAAGTGTCCGGCGTACAGGACGTCGTGGTATTCTTCGAGTAGTAACTGGCGCAAAGGAGGGTAATTGGGTACCCAGATTTTTGTGGATCCCTTCCGGTACGCGATGTCACTGTCCCATTGTAGCAGATGTCGCTTTTCTGCCAAGGGAATTTCGGGGTCGATGGCGTACCCGTGGGTGAAGAGTCCCTTGAGTAGTGGATTCATCCCTTCGATCTGAATCGCGGCAACGTGTGCAGGCCGGCTGAGAGCGTCTGCTTTGTTCTTGTGGCCGGGCTTGTACACGATGTCGTAGTGGAAGTGTGTCTCGAGGAAGTCGATCCACCGGACCTGCCGCCTGGAAAGGTTGGGTTGTGTCTTCAAATATTTCAGGCTGCAGTGGTCGGTGTAGACGGTCGTTCTTCGTCCTTCGAGACAGCATCTCCACGCTTTGAAGGCGATGATGATAGCAAGAGCCTCTTTGTCGTGTATCGGGTAGTTGAGTTCTGCCCCGTGCAGTTTCTTGCTGAGGTAGGCAATTGGTTGCAGTCCATTCCCCTGGTCTTGCATCAAGACTGCACCCACTGCCTGGTCGCTGGCGTCAGCTTCGATTACGTAGTCGCGTTCGGGATCTGGCAAGATGAGCACCGGTGCGGACGTTAGTGCTTGTTTCAGCTGCTCCACGGCTTCCTGGTGCTTCGTCTCCCATTTGTAGGGCGTGTTCTTCTTCAGCAGATTCGTGAGTGGTGCCGCGAGTTTCGCATACTGTGGCACGAACCTGTTGTAGTAATTAGCGAAGCCTAGGAACTGCTGCAACTCCTTCACGTTCTCGGGTGTCTTCCACGTACGTACGGCTTCGATTTTCTTGGGGTCGACGTGAACTCCTTGAGCGCTCACCAGGTGGCCTAGAAATTGGACCTTCTCCAGGGCGAATTCGCTCTTGGACAGTTTGACGTAAAATCGTTCTCGTCGAAGAATTTCGAAGACGCGTCGCAGGTGTTCGACGTGCTGCTTCATGTCGCGCGAGTAGATGAGTATGTCGTCCAGGTACACCACCACGCATTCGTCCAGAAGTGGTCGTAGAATGTGGTTCATTTCGGCTTGGAACGTTGCCGGCACGTTGGTGAGTCCGAACGGCATGACCAAATACTCGTACGATCCGTACCGAGTTCGAAAAGCAGTTTTGTGGATAGAGTTGTCCGCCATCCGTATCTGCCAGTATCCGGACCGCAGATCCAGTTTGGAAAATACCGTAGCTCCCCGAAGCTGGTCAAGCAGGTCATCGATTCGCGGTATCGGATATTTATTCTTGATGGTCTGCTTGTTAAGAGCTCGGTAGTCGATGCACATGCGCAGGCTTCCGTCCGGTTTCGGTGTGAAGAGTACTGGGGCACCGTATGGCGAAGTAGATGGTCGGATGAGTCCTTTGGCTAGGAGATACTCGATCTGCTTCTTCATGTCGGTCAGCTCCGTAGGGCTGAGTCGATATGGTGCTCGGAAGGTCGGCTTTGAACCCGGTTCCTCCACGATCTCGTGTTGATGCGTTCGGTATGGCGGTAGCTCGTTCGGAAGATCGTCAGGAAGAATGTCTTGGAACTCCTTCAGTAATTCCTTGATCTTTTCTGGAGTTTCCGAGGCTTTCTCTCCGTCATTCTCCACCTCTGTTGCTATCGCCAGGAACCCGGTGTCGGTCCGCTTCACATCCTTCTCGAATCGTGCGAGTGTCTCCACTGGGATATCTCCTGTATCGTCCCAGTTGGGTAGTTGTACTCTCCGTCCATTGTTGTAGATGCTTGCGGTGCGGTTTACCCAGTTGATCTCGGGGTTGAATCTTTTCAGGAAGTCTCGCCCGAAGATCAAGTCAAGCCCTTTGATGTTGGTGATGGGGAGTGCAGGTCTCCAGCGCAGTGGTCCGATTTGTAGATGTAGCACTGCTTCGCCGTGTACTGGTAACTTGCTGCCGTCCACCATCGTTGCAGAGAATCCTGAAGGCTTGTACTCTTCCCGGAGTCGGTCGATCATTGCCTTGTCGCAGACGGTGTGTGACGCTCCGCTGTCCACGAGTGCTTGGAGGCGTCGTCCTTTGCAGATGACCTCGAGCACGAGGGGCAGTCGTTGCTCGGAGTACCCAAAGATAGTTTCATTGATTGGGTCATAGGGTACATCCCAATATTCCGTACACACCTTGGTTTTGCTGTCTACTCCTGAGCTGGCAGCTGGCCGAGGCTGCTTGGAGAACGGCTCTTCTCCAGGGCCCGGAGTTTCCTTGACGACTGTGCGCGTCATTGATGCCGAAGAACTGGATGCATCCGTAGAAGGAGTTCGGGGTTTGTGCAGCTTCTTGTAGACCCCCAGCTTCCTCTTGAGCTGCTTCAGCTCCACCGACGTCTTCCCTGGGGAGCGGGTAGTCGTTGTGGGCTGGTGTCGGGAGAGGACGTTGACTCCGTGGAAAGGTCGGCTTCTTTCCACACTCCTTAATTTGGTCCCCAAGTTGTCCGGTACCGGTATAATCTCCACAGCTGTCTGCTTCTTTTGGAGTCCCTCCCGAATTTTCTCCAAGGCTCTAGCCCCTCGAACATCATAAGTTTTCATTAAAGCATCTTTATAAGATAACTTTAACGAATTCTTATAATTTCTTGGGTCTTCAAGGAGTTTCCCTGTCTCGGCAGAGTCTTTTTTCGCGGAGTCGTATTTTTCCTCGGCGATTTTCCCTGGCGAAGAGTGGTCGTGGGGTGGAGATTTTCCCCCATCATTTCCTCCTTCTCGCGTCGAATCAGCTTCGTCGAAGTTGATTTTTCCGGAATCCCGCGGCCGCTTTCGGATCTTTTTATTTTCGCCAGCTAGATCCGCAATCACTGGCGACTCCCGTTTTTTGTCTTCTGATTGGCCGAAAGATTTCCGCCACTGTTGCGTGCCCGATACTCTGCGCGTGCGGCCTTCATTTTGTTGCAGTCGAAGATTCGGTGGCCCGGCACCCCGCAAAAATCACACGTGTAGTTGGTGTTTTTCGGACGTGGCCGTCCCTCGAATCTGTCGACTTCCATCGGGTCGGCGAACGTGGTGTGAGCCGAGCGGTCGCCCTGTCGCGTACTGCCGACGTGCGTCCGTCGTGTTCCGGCGTTGACCATGTCGAAGCGCTCCGCGGCCGAAACGACGTCACTGTAGCTCGCGTAGTTTGACGCTGCGACTTGTCGTTTGACTTCGGTCTTCAGCCCGGCGAGGTACGATTGTACTTTTTCCCCTTCGGTCAGGTCGGGAATGCGGTTATAAAATTCCTCCATCTGCTGCGTGTACTGTGCTACACTCCCGAACTGTCGGTGTCGATGAATTTTTTCCCGGGCAAGGAAACTCGAATTTATCGGTTCGAAGCGTTTCAGCAGGTCGGCGCGGAACTGCTGCCACGTGGCTTCACCGTGGATGAAAGTACTGTTGCCGCCAATCCACTCGAGTGCCGGCCCTCGCATCAGTGTCGCCGCGAGTCGTACACGTTGACCGTCCCAGACTGGCGAGCTCCATCCGACGGCTGCGAAGTAGATCTCCATCCCGGCGATCCATCTGCGGGCGTCGGAGTTTCGATCGCTCGGATCGAACGGCTCAGGTGGGCGCGGTTTCGGAGCCTCGAGAAACTGCTGCGACTGCTGCGTCGTCGCCGTTGTCGTCTCGTGCTGCGCTCCGGCGAGTCGAGTTACTCGCTCGAACTGGTTTCGCCACGCTTCGCGATCTGCTCGCATTTCCTCCTGAAGGGCTGCGATGCGCGCGAAGAGCTGCTGGGTAACCTCGGCGTTGTCGAAGGTTGCCATCCTGTTCAAAACACGCACGGAGGGGGTAATTCGAAAATCGCGGAGCTGGTGCTTATCAGAATCGGCGTCGAATTGGTCGCCCCCGGCGGTTTTTCGAGGCAGGATCCCCGCTGCTGCTGCTTAGCTGAGCGCGGCCGAGTGAGAAAAGCTCTGATTACCAAGTGTCACAGGATCGAATGTGTCGAGGAAAGGTTGCACTATCGATCAGTACAAGGCGCTTTTATACTTCCAGAGTACATCAGGTAACCAGGTTTATCTTATCCTAAGGGAATAGACCCTTCTAGAAGATAGAATCACCCTGCGTATAGCCACGCGAGGCTATTGGCTTTAAGGGATTACAGCAGGATTACGCTGGATAACGTCTCTAGTACATTCCATGCCTGGTCGGTGATATAATTATAATAAAGGAAGAGACCAAAGGATAATGGAAAAGGAAGAATAGGAAACCAAATGAGATGCGGTAAAAAGAGAAATGAAAAGGGAAGGAAATAAGAAAAGGCCAAGTGGTGTAACGGGGTCGTACTCTCACAGGGGGGGGGGGGGGGGGTCGGGAGAAACAGAGTACTAAAAAGGGTAATTTGCTGCCATGTGAGAAACATTGGGCATTCAAGACGCGATACATAGGCACAAACCTGTTTCAACCCCCCAAACGCAACCGAACACCTCGGTTTTTGTTAATATTTTCACTAGTCACCCTTCTTCATTATCCGCGCCACAAATGTTATAGAACTCCGGAAAATAAAACTAAGTGGGACGTGTTAATATGAATTTCATGCTGACGTTTATTCTCCAGAAAAGTCATGCAATATTACTAAAATCATACTTTGCAAGACAAGGATAAGAACATTTAATAAAATAATGGATGAACTAGAAGCAATTTTGTGGTTAAAAAAATTATTATATGTGTGAAAAAAAAAAAACAGAGTTGCCATCGGGAAAAACTAAAAGCATCGTATCACGAATTCATTTTGGGCCACATATGTTTTCTTGTTGTTTTCATTGTGGATGTCATCTAAAGAAATATGAAAGCTTTTAAATAAATGTTAAAATTTTGTGTGTTTGATCCATGCTAATCAACCGGTTCGCGTGTTTAGTAGCCGCAGTTGTTTTGGTTGGATTCAGAAATAATAAAATATGTCGAGATAAATTCAATGATGCAACAAGGCTCAAGGTGTAAGTTCAATTAATGTCATATATTTATATTAGTCGTAGTACTGGGTCATTTGTGGCGCGGATAAGGAAGAAGGGCCAATTGCGAAAATATTAACAAAAACTGAGAGGCTCAGTTGCGTTTCGGGGGTTGAAACAGGTCTGTGCCTATGTGTCATATTTTGAATTGTCGATACATCTTTCTGTCTATCAGAACAGAAAGCCACACAATTTTTTATAATTCAGAACTGTTCGTAATGACGCTGATCAGAAAGATGGCGTATTCTAGTCCAGAGAACAAATCTTGTTCGTACAGATCAGCCTCCCAATGTTTCCCATCTGGCAGCAAATTACCCTACTAAAAAAGCTTAGCGAGAGCCCTGCTCCCCGCGGATACATTCCCCCCAGCAGCCTCGGATAGTTCGCTTTGTATCAATAGGCGGAGCTGTTGCGGAACACCTCGGTCCGGTTCGGTACAGTACGCTTTGTGGTTGGTTCCTCCGGGCCAGCCTTCCCCCTGCGCTCCAGGCGAGACTGCGCCGGCGCGGAGTCATGCGAACTTCGATTCGAATATTCGAACTTTCAGCGCTTCAGGACTGAACCTCCCTGCTTGCCTGCCGAACTGCCTGCTCGCCACCCTGTGCCTGCTAGTGCTGACCTACTCCCTCCCCTCCCTCCCCTTCCTCCCCTGCTTGCCTGATTGCCCAACCTCTTCCATTCAAAACTCCCATTTTCGTCGGTTGATGCCCCTTTTTCCTCAGCTGGCCAGGACTCCTTTGTTCCTTACTTGCCCCATTTCCACTTAGCTGCCTAACCTTGGCAGGCTGAGTTTGCTTCGCTCTTTGGCGGTGCCGCGAACTTCCCAGGCCAATAACGAGATTTGTCGAAATTTGCGCGAATGGCGGCCATATCGTTCGCTAATGCAGCAGTGAACTTGGAGCTTTCTAGGACCAGCAGATCTATTGCTACATGGGGTCCCGAGTCAGGCATTTCCAACGTATCCATGCATACCGTGCTTCACTTACCTTCGAGATCATTTTCGTCGACTCTCTCCGCCGGACCATCCGCTAAGCGATCGCACATCGTCGTCGTCGGCTTCGCCTCCCCCTATCACCAATCGCCTGCGACGTCGCCCAGCGACGACTCCTCCTCGCTCCCGTCGTTCGCCAGCGATCGCACGTCGCTGTTCCTCACCACGCCTCTAACTTCATCGTCCACGCACCTCTCTAAACTGACGCCTTCGGCAGCCGATGGCAGCGCGACGACGCAAACCGGCGGCGGCGGCGGAGACGGCTCTTCCGGCGGCTCTGGCGGCGGAAGCGGAGGCGGAGGCGGCGGGGATGGCAGCAGCGGCAATGGCGGAGAGAGCGACAGCGAGAAGAACCGCGCGGATGCACTGGCCGCGCTGGCGGCGCTCGGGCGCACCGTGCAATCGCTCCCCGCGGATCTTGCGGACGCGATTTTGGCGGGAAGAATCCCGGGGATTATCGTGGAGCGTTTCGCTGCGCTGGAGAAATCGCCGCTGCTAAAGCACCTCCTGCGATTCGACGGATTTAAGGAGCGTCTGCTGGCCGACGATCTGTTTATGACCAAAGTGGCGATCGAATGCGGCGTGGGCATTTTCACAAAGGTGATGTCTTTAAAGCGCTATTAGTTTGGGATGTTGTATCAGAGAATCGGGTGACATCGGTAATGTGACGGGGAATGGGAATTGGAACAAGTGTGGTGCTCTTTTAGGGGAGATGCGCTGAGGAGAGGCTGGAATTGGTGATGTAAGTGAGTGACGAACTCAGAAAATAAGCGCTCAAGGTGGTACTTCAAACCATGGCGCTTAAACGTCAAGTTTTAAGCGACACATTGGGGGTGTTATACAAAGTGCATCAAACAATGTACGCAACCGGTATCGAAAGTGCATGTTCAATAGTAGTATGGAACTCTGAGGTTACAGCCTGCTTCGCCTTGTCCCTTCCCCTTTCGTCTCCATCTGTCCATCTGTCCACCGACCTGTCCATCCGCCTATCCACCCACCTGTCCACCCACCTGTCCACCCACCTATCCACCCAACTGTCCGCCATGCCGCAGACGGGAGCGGAGTACGAGAAGCGCCGGGAGAACTTCTTCAAGGAGCTCGACTTCGTCGTTGCTGACGTGGTGCGTTGTTGCTGACGTGGTGCGCCATTGCTGTTTTCGAAATGCAATTCTCCACAGTAGCGAGCCATCTCTCCCGCCTTCGTCTCCCCACCCCCCGCCCCCCTCCCCCCTCTCCCGTCCCCCCTCCCATTATCCCTCCTCCTCCCGTCAAGTATTCTTCTTCCTCCTCCCCTCTCCCCTGTTTCTCCTCCCCCCCCCGCTGCCTCCAACCCTGCTGGTGTGGCTGACCGCGCCCACCCATGGTGTCCTTTAAGTCTTGTGATAGGTTTTTGAGAACTCATAAACTTTTGTCTCCCTCCTCCCCCCCCAGATCAAGGCGCTGCTCGCAGATTTCATGCGGGTGTGGCTGCCTTGGAGTCGACTCAGAAGCGCCCCCCTTCCCCCCTCTCCGCCCCTTCTCTCTCCCCCCCCTCTCCCCCCCCCTCCTCTCCACAGATCATGGCCCTGCTGGCGGATTTCATGCTGGTGTGGCTGCCGGCGCCCACGGTGGCTCTGCGCGCCCCTCTGGCCAGCAACGCCGGCCGCCTCGCCATGTTCTTCTCCAACTGCCCCGATAACGCCTTCCAAGTGCGCTCCCACCTGCCTCTTCCCCTCTCTCTCTCGCTCTCTTTCCGTCTCTCCTCCCTCCCTTTCTCCCTCCCATCCTCCCTCCCTCCCTCCCTCCCTCCCTCCCTCCCTCCCTCCCTCCCTCCTCCCTCCCTCCCTCCCTCCCTCCCTCCCTCCCTCCCTCCCTCCCTCCCTCCCTCCCTCCCTCCCTCCCTCCCTCCCTCCCTCCCTCCCTCCCTCCCTCCCTCCCTCCCTCCCTCCCTCCCTCCCTCCCTCCCTCCCTCCCTCCCTCCCTCCCTCCCTCCCTCCCTCCCTCCCTCCCTCCCTCCCTCCCTCCTTCCCTCCTCCCGACTCTCCTTTCCTCCCTCCCTCCCCACTTCCTTCCCTTCTCCCCTCTCCCTCCATCCCTCACTTTTCTCCTCCTCCGCCTCGCATTCCCCCCCGCCTTCCTCCTCCTGCCGTTGCCTTGCTGCTTCAGCCGTCAACCTTCCCTTCGTCTCTCACCTCTCCTCTCCCCTCCCCTCCCCTCCCCCTCCCCTCTTCTCCCCTCCCCTCGCCTCCCCTGCGCTTTATCATGTCGCGTTATCATCTCAGGTGGCTCTCCGTGGCACGAGCTACTCTGTCCTGCAGCGAGTGGGCGCTATTGTCGTACGTGCTCACTGCTCCCTCGCCCCTCGTTCCTTACCTCCACTGCCCACCTACGATTTCCCAACCCCTCATTCCAAATCCCCTTCCTCCTCCCCACTCTGTTTCCCCCACCTCCTCTGCTCCCCGGATTCCACTCCATTGCATTTTCACCTGTTGTCAGCCCTTCGCCTCTCTCACCCCCCCTGTGTGACAGCATAGGTGCTTCCCCTCACCCCCCCCCCCCCCTTCCCCCTCCCCCCTTCCCCACCCCCCTCACCCCCCTCACCCTTTCCCCGCCTCCCGCACCCCCCTTGCGCCGTCCCTGTGTGAGTGCAGCGCAATGGAGCCAAGTTGCTGGGCGTGGGAACTGTAGCCTCGCTGGTGAGTGAATGGGGGGGAGGGAGGGGGGACGGGGGGCGACATTGTGGGGAAGGTGCTGGGGGGGGAGGGTGCTGCTGGGGAGAGAGGGCGCTGCTCGGGGGAGAGGGTGCTGTTGTGAGGGGAGGAGGGGGGGGGGTGGGGTGGGCTTTGAGAGAAATGTATGTTATGTATATAAAAATTGGATCAGTGGCATAGGACGGGATGGGGTATATGGTAGAATGGGATGGCATAGCATGAGGTGTCTATTTTTGAGGCGCCTCAAAAATACGGTAGAATGGGATGGGATGGCATAGCATGAGGAGTCTATTTTTTAGGCGCCTCAAAAATACGGTAGAATGGGATGGCATAGCATGAGGTGTCTATTTTTGAGGCGCCTCGAAAATATGGTAGAATGGGATGGCACAGCATGAGGTGTCTATTTTTGAGGTGCCTCGAAAATACGGTAGAATGGGATGGCATAGCATGAGGTGTCTATTTTTTAGGCGCCTCGAAAATACGGTAGAATGGGATGGCATAGCATGAGGTGTCTATTTTTGAGGCGCCTCGAAAATACGGTAGAATGGGATGGCATAGCATGAGGTGTCTATTTTTTAGGCGCCTCGAAAATACGGTGGAATGGGATGGCATAGCATGAGGTGTCTATTTTTTAGGCGCCTCAAAAATACGGTAGAATGGGATGGCATAGCATGAGGTGTCTACTTTTGAGGCGCCTACGGTAGAATGGGATGGCATAGCATGAGGTGTCTATTTTTGAGGCGCCTCGAAAATATGGTAGAATGGGATGGCATAGCATGAGGTGTCTACTTTTGAGGCGCCTCAGAAATATGGTAGAATGGGATGGCATGGCATGGGGTGGAATGACATTGCAACCTCAGGTGGGTGAAAACCCTTCATGCGAGAATGGTGAGGGCCTGAGGAGAAGGCTGAGGGCCTTTGGGGAATGGTGAGATGGAAATGGGGATGGCGTGGCAGTGGATAGGATGGCACAGCATTGCATGCCATTTCCCTCATCCCCCCCCTCCCTCCCTCCCTCCCTCCCTCCCTCCCTCCCTCCCTCCCTCCCTCCCTCCCTCCCTCCCTCCCTCCCTCCCTCCCTCCCTCCCTCCCTCCCTCCCTCCCTCCCCTCACCAGTTCGGCTGTGGCATGACCAACGGTCTCATTCTCGCGCGCAAGACGTTGGCCAAGCAAGGAGCAGCAGGCGGCGGCAGCATCGCAGAAAGCAGCGGCGAGGAGGAGGAGGCCAAGGTGCCGATTCTGGCAACCAGCGTAGCGTATGGCGTGTACATGGCTGTTTCCAGCAACCTCAGGTGGGTGAAAGGGAATGATGATGGGGTGCGTGGCTGCGTAAAGCTAGCTACCTGAACTTCTTTGCACACATGGTTCCATATTAGCATAGCATCTGTCCGGTGCTGACTTTTGAGTCGACTCAAAAGTCTGCACACATGGTTCCATATTAGCATAGCATCTGTCCCGACTCCCTCGTCCCTCCCCCCCTCCTCAATATTCTGCCCAATCCCCCCTCTGCTTGCAACATGCACTTGGCCCCCCCACTCCCCACCCCTCCTCCCTTCTGCTACGCCTCCTCCTCAAATGAACACCTTTTACACACACCCTGCTCTCCCTCTCTCCCTCCCCTCCCAGATATCAAGTCCTGGCTGGAATTGTGCAGCAGCGCAGGAGCCCATGCTAAACAGCGCATTCTGTCAGCACCTTACACACACACCCCCCCCCCCGCACTCACAATGCAGATACCAAGTGCTGGCAGGCATTGTGGAGCAGTGCATGCTGGACAACCAGAAGCTGTCAGCTGCTTGACGTATCCCTTCTCCTCCCCCCCTCCTGCCTCCCTCCCTCACTGCAGATATCAAGTGCTGGCGGGCATTGTGGAGCAGCGCATGCTGGAGCCCATGCCAGAAGCTATCAGCACCTTACACACACCCCTCCCCTCTCTTCCCGCCCTCACACCGCAGATATCAAGTGCTGGCAGGCATTGTGGAGCAGCGCATGCTGGAGCCCATGCTGCACAACCAGAAGCTGCTGCTGTCCGTGCTGTCGTTCGCCGTCCGCACTGGCAACACCTTCCTCGGCTCCCTGCTGTAAGCATGCTTGCTCTCGTTACAAGCGTGTTTAGGAAAGTTCTCTAAAGGGCGTGTTTTGGATTTTCTCAAAGCATGCTGTCCGTGCTGTCATTTGCCGTCCGCCACGGCAAGCAACACCTTCCTTGGCTCATTGATGTAAGCACGCTGAGCGCACCCTCTCCCTCCGTCCGTCACTCTCACGCATTCGCACCACACTAGCCCTCCTCTCGTTCTCCCTCTCTTGCCCCGAGCCACTCATCATCATGCTCTCACACAATCACCCACATCAACACTGCCCATGTGTACATCCACTCATCCTTTCCATGCAACATGCTCACCATACACCATACCCCCAATCCCCCATTGTGTGTGCTTGCTTGCTTGCTTGCTTGCTTGCAGGTGGGTCGACTATGCTCGGTGGGTGGGAGTGCAGTCACACGAGTGATTCTTTAGCCGCTAGAAAGTAGTGCTGTTGTAGGTTTATTCGCCATTGCTCTATATTTCCGATCCCCTCCCTCGCACATGCACGCCACGGTAGATTGTCACCAGCTCCTAGGTTCTCCTTTGCTTATGATTCTAGGTGACCCCATAGAATAATTGTTGTTTTATTATTGATTTGAGATGGGAATTGAAGAGGCATCCGAACCGACTTAGACAAATCGAATTTCCATAACTATGCTGGCGTGTATAACGCGTGGTGTCCAAGCAGGTACCAAGGACACAGAATCCCCGCCGCCGTGGGGCCACACGCCGCGCCACAGGTTCACGAATTCACATGGCCGCCGCCATTTGCGGCTCCGTACCGCCTTTCCCCCTTACCGAGTCCCTTACTCGCCGCTCTTTTTCTGGCGCTGTTCTCTCCGCCATCCCGTCTTCCGCTTCCCGCGGTCGCTTCCGCGCCCGTCCATTCTTCCCGCTAGTGTGTCTCCGCGCCCACTCCTTCCCGAAGCTCCGCGGGTCTCGTCCGCCTCCCCCTTCGCCTTTCCCTCCCTTTCCCGCAGCGATCCCCCGGCAGTCCGACACCGCTCGCGGAACTGGGCTGGCGGACTCGGGGGGGATGCGAGCGCGGGGAGGGGGGGGGGAAGCCCGAGGGAAAGGGGAAGGGGGGAGCGGAACAGGTGGGGAAGGGAGAGGCGGGATGGGCGGGGGGAAGGAGGTGGGCGCGGGGACAGTGCTGGCAGATTCGCACCCTCCGCTTCCCCCACTGCAGCTTCTTCAGGTGGAATAGAGGGTCTGGGGGAATGGAGTGTCAGGGGGAATGGAGGGTCAGGGGGAGTAGAGGGCCATATTCGATGCTTGTAGTAAATGTGTGACGTCCCTCTTCTTCCTCCATTCGCTCACCCCTCACCCCCTCCCTCTCTTCTCGCCTCCCCTTCTCATCCTCTCTTTCCTCGCTTCTCCCCCCCCGCTTCTCCCCCCAAGTGCATCTACACTTCCGCCATGGCGCCAGATTGCCCATTTCATCCCCCCTCCTCTCATCCCCCCCCTTCCCTTCCCCCCTCCCCCTCCCCCCAGGCGCATGTGTTCTTCCGCCATGGCGCCAGGGTGCCCCTGCCCCACAGCAAAGCGCGCATGATGGGGGGAAGGGGAGGGGGAACGGGAGGGGGGACGGTTGGGGGAGCGGGAGGGGGAGCGGGAGGGGGGAGACAGGGGAAAGGGGGAAAAAGAGGGTTTGCGGAAGAGCCGAAGGGAGAGGAGTGTGGGAGCGGTTGGGAGGGGTTCCCTGGGATGGAGGAGTGGGAGCGCAGGGCGGTGAGAGGGTGTGATGTGGCCGGGCTGCCTGAGAGGAGGTTCTCACGGGGAGCAGACGACTGGCCGTTAGGGCAGCTCTCTAAAACAGGTGGGGTGCGGAGGGAGTGGATGGGAGGGGATGCCAGGGGTGGAGGAGTGGGGGATTAGGGTGGTGAAAGGGTCGGATGTGGGCTGCCTGAGAGGATGCACACGTGGGGTGCGGACACTATTTTTTAGGCGCCTCAAAAATAGACTCCTCACGCAGGGTGCGGACAGCTGGTCGTTTGGACAGCTCACTACAACAGGTGGGGTGGTCGGCCCGGCAAGTGGTCGAGAAATCGGTGAATCCCTTTCCCTCTCTTTTCCTCCTCAAGTGCGCTCACTACGATACGACCTAGCACCACTGGTACAACTCGCCCAGTCTGATGTCTGGTAGTAATGGTAGTACTGATAGTCCTGATAGTACTGGTAGTACTGGTAGTCCTGGTAGTACTGGTAGTCCTGGTAGTACTGGTAGTACTGGTAGTACTGCTGGTCCACCAGTGGTGGTAGGTCCGAGTCGTTCCTCTTCAATTCACGCTCGCCCACCAGTGATCCACTCCTTGCCTGTCTTTTGAGTTGACTCAAAAGCTGATCCGCTGCTTGCCTCCTTCTTTCCTGAGCATTCTCAGAAGACCCTTCCTCTGCCCTGTTTCGCCTTGTCCTCTCTTCCTCGTGTTTGCTCCCATTCCATGTGAATCGTCCTGCCCCCCCCCTGCCCCCCCCCTCTTCATCCCATTCAGGAGCACAGGAGGCGGAGGCGCTTGGCAGAAGGATCAGGGAGACGTACGGTGCAGCGCTGTTGGACGGGCTGGTGGCGGGCTGTGAGGGGGAGAGAGAAGAAGAAGGAGGAGGAGGAGGAGAAGGAGAGGGAGGAGGAGAGACCGAAGGCGAAGGGGATGTGAGGAGGAAGGAAGGGATACCGGGTGCACGTGATGCAGACAGAGGGGTGAACGTGCATCCCTCTGATTTGCGCGTTTACCAGAGTGCACTCGATGAGGCATGTGGCATGAAGCATGGCTCTGGTGCGGTAGCTGACTCCAGCCTCACTCAGTGCGGGGGCAGCAGAGAGACAGAGACAGAGACAGAGACAGAGACCTCGCTAAAAAGAGAGACAGAGGCCTCTTGTCTCGCGCAGTCGCTGGCAGCCGCCATTCGCGTGAGAGCCACCAGCTTCCCGCGGACCTACCACTCAGGTGCTTTCAGGTGCTTTTCCCAGTGATTTTCAGGTGCGTTTCAGGTGCACCTCAGCAGGTATCTGTGTGCATCGTGCACTCTGCACGCCACTGCCACTAGCGCCACATGTCGCGTTACCCGTGGAGAGGCATGAGCCTCCCCACGGTTAACACAGCAGCAGGGGAAGAGGTGAGTGGAGCAGAGTATTATGAGAAGAAAGAGTTGGCATGCATAATCGAAATACAAAATACGGGAGAGAGAGGTACAGTACTGTACTGTACAAAGTATGAAGGAGCTCAGGGATCGAGGCGCGGGGATAATGGGACCTTACAATTTCGAGGCGCAAGCAAGGATGAGGTGGGGGGGGGAGGGACGTCAGCAATAGCCCCATCTGACGAAGGGTAGGGACCAGGGAATCTCAGTTCCCAAGGGAAGGAAGGGAGGTAGGCAAGGGAGCAGGGGAAAGTGAAGTGTAAATAGATCGAGACTCAGTAGGCTAATCGTTTCTCGCTTGTATGTTTTCCTACTATACTGCAATTACACTCTACTAGAGTCCAGCAGTACGGGAATTCAGTCCTAAGTGGATCTGAGCAGCCAGGACGAGGCTTGTAACAAGGGCGCTTGGTCCCACAGCAGCAGTCATTACCTACCAGAGAAGGAATGGACAAAGGAAGAAGGAGGGCAGGGAGGAAGGATAGTTCAGAAGAAGGGGGAGACTCCCCATTCCCACTCCCCCTCCCTCACCTACTCCCGCCCTTCGCCTGTCTCCCCTCTCCTCTCTTCGACCCCAGATCACCCCACTGGCGCTGATCTATCCCCCCCCCCTCTTTTCTTCCCTCCCCTTCCGCAACCACCCTCTTGCAGCCTTCTTCGTGTTCTGTGGGTTGCTTTCGAGGCCCCCCTCCTCCCCCTCCTCCCCCTCCTCCCCCTCCTCCCCCTCCCCCCCTTGCAGCCTTGTTCATGCTGTGTGCATTGCTGGGGTCGCGTCGCAGGCTGCAGAAGCCGCAGCAGCAGCAGCATGTGGGGCAATGGAGATCCGATGTGACTGTCGAGTCAACTCAAAGGCCCTCCCCTTCCCCTTCCCCTTCCCCTTCCCCTTCCCCTTCCCCTTCCCCTTCCCCTTCCCCTTCCCCGTCCACAACCACTTCCTTGCAGCCTTCTTCATCCTCTGTGGGTTGCTTTCGAGGCGCCTCAAGAATCACCCCTGCTCTCCCTCGCCCTGCCCCTCCGCTACCCCGTCCACAACCACCCCCGTGCAGCCTTCTTCATGCTCCGTGGGTTGCTGGGGTCACAGGCGGCAGCGGCAGCAGCATGTGGGGCGATGGAGATCCGGGAGGACAAGGACGAGACGCTGATCGACTCGGGACGATGCGAGCGGTAAGAGCGGTAAGAGCGGTTCACGGCATGGAGTTGAGTAAGAGCGGTCAAGGCATTCAGGTGCTTTTGCCATGCTTTATGGGTTGATGGGCTCAAAGGAGGCAGCGGCAGCGGCAGCGGCAGCGGCAGCGGCAGCGGCAGCGGCAGCGGCAGCATGTGGGGCGATTGAAATTCCCGAGGACCAAGGACGAGACGCTGATAGACTGGGGACGATGCGCAGCGCACGGTAGTAACAGCAGTCACTGCACTCAGGCGTTTTGTCAGGTGCCTCTCAGGTGTCGTAATCCAGGTGCACATGATCAGAGGCCATGCCATGCCATGCCATGCCATGCAGCCGGCTAAGAGGTTCTGCTCATTGAAGAGTCGTCAGATACAGAGTGTGGCTAATCGTCTGGCCTGGTCCCCTTACCATGCCACCTCCCCTCCCCTCCTCTGCCCTTCACCCTTCACCATGCGCCAAACACCCGGTCCTGTCCGCTAGCAGAGCCACCCAGTTGGCTCACTCGGCTTGGCGCAGAGTCACTCAGGGCCTCCCTCCCCTCCCCCCTTCCGTGCCATGAGATGCCACCCATTCATTCCCCCTTTCTCATCCTTTTTTCACCACCCCAACCAATCCCGCTTGTCCCACGCAGCGCCACTCAGTTGGCTCACTCGGCTTGGCGCAGAGTCACTCAGGGCCTCCCTCCCCTCACCCCGCCCTCTGATGCTCCTGCCGCTCCTGCTGCTGCTGCTGCTGCTTCTGCCGCCAGCGTTGCTGCCGCTTCCTTAGATGGCGTTCTCCCTGCTGCTGGTTCTGCTCCTAATGCCCCTCCTTCTGCTGTTGGTGCTGCTACTAAAGGTGCTACCACTACCGGTAGCACTACTACCGTTGGCGGTGATGGTGGTGGTGGTGGATGGCGCAAGAAACAGGTGGTACGATAACTGTCGGTCCTTGCAATTCATACTGCTTCTGCACTGCACTAATGAGTAATCGTTTCTTTCTTTATCCCTAGTGATATTCAACTACCAAAGTGCCGTTGTCGTCGCTTACTCCCCCACACACTGCCCTCGACCCACCCCAACACCACCAGCACGCACGTGAGGCGCTGAGGACCGTCCTAGGCCTACCATCCGGCCCGTTCCCCTGGCCTTGGGTAAGTTGCTGCATGTGCGCGCATGCATGAGTGCGCCTGGGTGTGCCACCTAGGTGTGCTTTCGAGCCGACTCAAAAGCGTTTCCTTGACCCTGGGTGAGTTGGTGTGTGTGCGCCCATGCATGAGTGTGCCTGGGTGCTGATTGTCCGAGCGTGTGTGCACGTGCGAACATGTGTGCATGCATGTCGTTTCGTCTATCATGTTCACTTGATCGTCGCATTTCCCTCATGCAGGCAACTTGGTGCATTGCTGCCAGACTGTTTAGGCGCCTCTCCAAAATTGTGCCACCACCACGTGGACCTCCTCCCACCCCTGACATGCGTGCTGCATCGCAATTCACTTGCGCCCTTCCTCTCATTTCTCTCCTCTCATTTCTCTCCTCTCATTTCTCTCCTCTCATTTCTCTCCTCTCATTTATCTCCTCTCATTTCTCTCCTCTCATTTCTCTCCTCTCATTTCTCTCCTCTCATTTCTCTCCTCTCATTTCTCTCCTCTCATTTCTCTCCTCTCATTTCTCTCCTCTCATTTCTCTCCTCTCATTTCTCTCCTCTCATTTCTCTCCTCTCATTTCTCTCCTCTCATTTCTCTCCTCTCATTTCTCTCCTCTCATTTCTCTCCTCTCATTTCTCTCCTCTCATTTCTCTCCTCTCATTTCTCTCCTCTCATTGCTCTCCTCTCATTGCTCTCCTCTCATTGCTCTCCTCTCATTTCTCTCCTCTCATTTCTCTCCTCTCATTTCTCTCCTCTCATTTCTCTCCTCTCATTTCTCTCCTCTCATTTCTCTCCTCTCATTTCTCTCCTCTCATTTCTCTCCTCTCATTTCTCTCCTCTCATTTCTCTCCTCTCATTTCTCTCCTCTCATTGCTCTCCTCTCATTGCTCTCCTCTCATTGCTCTCCTCTCATTTCTCTCCTCTCATTTCTCTCCTCTCATTTCTCTCCTCTCATTTCTCTCCTCTCATTTCTCTCCTCTCATTTCTCTCCTCTCATTTCTCTCCTCTCATTTCTCTCCTCTCATTGCTCTCCTCTCATTTCTCTCCTCTCATTGCTCTCCTCTCATTTCTCTCCTCTCATTTCTCTCCTCTCATTTCTCTCCTCTCATTTCTCTCCTCTCATTGCTCTCCTCTCATTTCTCTCCTCTCATTTCTCTCCTCTCATTTCTCTCCTCTCATTTCTCTCCTCTCATTGCTCTCCTCTCATTTCTCTCCGCTCATTTCTCTCCTCTCATTGCTCTCCTCTCATTTCTCTCCTCTCATTGCTCTCCTCTCATTTCTCTCCTCTCATTGCTCTCCTCTCATTTCTCTCCTCTCATTTCTCTCCTCTCATTGCTCTCCTCTCATTTCTCTCCTCTCATTTCTCTCCTCTCATTGCTCTCCTCTCATTTCTCTCCTCTCATTTCTCTCCTCTCATTGCTCTCCTCTCATTTCTCTCCTCTCATTGCTCTCCTCTCATTTCTCTCCTCTCATTTCTCTCCTCTCATTTCTCTCCTCTCATTTCTCTCCTCTCATTGCTCTCCTCTCATTTCTCTCCTCTCATTTCTCTCCTCTCATTTCTCTCCTCTCATTTCTCTCCTCTCATTGCTCTCCTCTCATTTCTCTCCTCTCATTTCTCTCCTCTCATTGCTCTCCTCTCATTTCTCTCCTCTCATTGCTCTCCTCTCATTTCTCTCCTCTCATTGCTCTCCTCTCATTTCTCTCCTCTCATTTCTCTCCTCTCATTGCTCTCCTCTCATTTCTCTCCTCTCATTTCTCTCCTCTCATTGCTCTCCTCTCATTTCTCTCCTCTCATTTCTCTCCTCTCATTTCTCTCCTCCCATTCCCCCCATGCCCGTCAGGCCATAGACTTCGTGCATTGCTGCCACCACCACGGGGACCCTCTCCCACTGCACATCACCCCCCCTCTCATCCACTCCATCCGCTCCCTCATCGCACAAGACTACGCCAAGGTCTACTCCGTAAGTGCCTCGCAAGTCTCACCTCGATTTTCATCTCAAGTCCCGTTCTAGGCATTTCCTTTAACCACGGTTTTTCTAAGAATTTATTTAAAAAGACGCTTCTTTTCCGCGCTTCTTTTCCGCACTTCTTTTTCGACTTTTGCCACCTCAGCAATCCACCTGCGCATCTCCTCTGCGATTGACAAGTCTAGAACAAGCCTTGAGCCGCTTCATAAAGAGGCCAGGCCAAGCACCTACAGTATATCTCAACTTCTCTTGACTCCCCTTTCTTCCCTGCACCAGTGTCGACCTGTGGCTCGTCTCTCCATGGGCCCTCTCCTACGTGACCTGCACCGCTGCCTCTCCCACTGCATATGTGCTAACAACACCTCCTACTCTTCCTCCTCTTCCTCAGCAGCCCCCACCACCACCACCACGCCCCCTCCATCCCCTCGACTCCACCTCTACTCGGCACATGATGTCACGTTGCTGCCTCTGGCTGGTAAGTCGATTCTTTAGGCGCCTCAAAAACCCCCTCCGTCCCCTTGTCTCCACCCGACTCTCTGCACATGACTCCACATTGCTGCCTCTGGCTGGTAAGTCACAAGGGCCTCACCTGCTTTCCTTCCATTCATTCCACCCCTTCCCGGCCCAAACCCTCTCGCACTCGCTTCCTTCCTATCCTAACACACCCCTGTTACCTTAAGTTGATTTTTTTTTAGAATTCTCAAAAACCAATTTACCACCCCCCCCACCCCCTCCTTTCCCTCACACCCCCGTTACATTCCTCTGTTACATGTTCCCCCCCACCCCCCTTCCCCACACCCCCGGTCCGCACTTGCCTCCTCCCAGCATCTCTGGGCGTCCCCTACGTCTCATGGCCGGTCTACACGTCATCCCTTGCCATTGAACTCTGGGCCGAACCCCCTCCATCAAAGCGCACTCGCCCCCCACACGCGCACTCGCTCTCCCACACATCTGCTCCGCTCGCTTCTACTTCCGCTGACCGCCCCTCCTCCTCGCGCGCTCGCATCTTTGTGCGCGTGCTTCGGGACTTTGAGCCTGTTGCCCTGCCACGCCGTGTGCCTGACGGGGAGGCAAGCTCTTGGCTGGTAGTAGGTGATTGTGGGAAAGAGGAAGAGATGGTGTCT